GTTGTGGCATGATGTTTTTTTTATCTCTTCTTTCCGACCGATGGTATTAGGTATGTATCACTTCGAGAGCTAATGATATGTGATGCTTCGAATTCTATTGAGATAGCTGGATTATCATGGCTATCGAGATATCGCTGGTTGGAGGGTGTATTCGTGTTGGTAGGTTTTATCATAGTATGGAATATATTCTCCGTGCTAACATATTATTTAAGATCAGGCCTCTTGACATTGTGTTTCCGGTTGTTATGGCTATCGTCTTTCTTGGTGTATGCCCGGCTCCTATTGTTTGGGGAGGATATCTCTAAGCTAAGCGTCAAGGTTTTGATATCACTATCTTTTTCTCCTTTTTTTCTTCCTTGATAGGACTTGATAGGAGCTGACTTGTTTAATTGTTTCTAAGGTTTCCTAGTCTAAGCAATATAAGGCGAGTACGAAAACTTGGTTAGGACGAGTCGAGTTGCCCCCTATACTGATTGATATAGATTTTATTTAGTTGAGTTATGAAGGGAAGGCGCGGCTTCTTTACACATCCTAACTATGTAGTATGGGACGCAAGGAGTGTATATTACGGCGAGGTAAGTCAACTTCCAGGATTCACTGTCGAATAGACATGTCTACGTCTTGAATACAGCGAGAGCTCTGCCTTTCTCACGGTCGACAACGTTTATATCAGATGCCAAAAATTGCATCCTCTCTAGGCCAAAATATATCTGGTTCAAGACCTACGGTTTTGCCTCTCACGCAAACTAGGACAATATATTTCTAAGATTATACATAGGTTTTGGTGTCTTCTTCGTACTCCGTAGAAAAGGAGACCTCGTGCCTCTGTAGTAAGCTTTTGCCAAAGCAGAAACTCGACTTGATAAATAAAGAGAGGTGCTTCATTATGTAAACGACAGGAGATTTCTCGACATATGTTCTGTCTACAGCATCCTTGTCTGCTAGAGCCGTCTCTGATATCTCCTCGCCTATCTGGTTGTAATACACCCCCGTAAGCCAGGAAGTCTTCATCTTGAGCTCATATGCCAACATAGACGAGACCACAATTTGTAAAATATATAGTATTATATAATACAGCGATGATCTACTGTATATTCCATATAGATGCCTACATGACGTTGAATTAAAGTGCGTGCGAGTGTTTGCACACAGAATATATAGAAAGGTACGTAGGTACCAGGTAGATAGGCTACCTCCAATAGGGCCATGAAGATAGTGGTCGTGTAACCTTAGTGCCTAAGTTTAGGTGGATCTCATGCACGGTGAAATAACTTTTCCATTTCCCGCGGGGGAAGCTTCCAAAATTTCTAGGCGATAAACACCTTCAATATCAGAAGGGCAAGCTTCGCGATACGCCACTTTTCACCGGGAATTCGTCGTTTTTACTTACTGGTGCGAGTCGATATCGAGTGTATTTTACTCTGGTTTAATTTAATAGCACAGAAATCCAAACATCACGCCAGAGCACCTCTTTCAACATGCAGGCTCCCGTTTTGGTTATGAGTGAGCCCCTCCATGAGCTAAGCTTGGGCAAAATGTGGGAAATAGCTACTAACTATTCCCAACCTAGACACCCAAAGTGGTGATAGACAGACTGGACGAAAAGCTCAGCTGTCTAACATCGCTGCCGCGAAGACGTATGTCTCCTTTCCCCCTATTCGACCCCCAAACTTCCGTCGCTAAACTCTAGCTCTAGCGTTGCCGATATCATTCGATCATGTCTTGGTCCCAAGGCCATGCTGAAGATGCTGTTGGATCCTATGGGTGGTATCGTCCTCACTAACGATGGCCACGCTATCCTACGAGAAATCGAAGTGTCACATCCCGCCGCGAAGAGCATGATCGAACTTAGCAGAACACAAGACGAGGAAGTCGGCGACGGTACCACAACGGTCATTATCTTAGGTTAGTAATATGACAAGTGGTAGAAAGTATGTTCGTGGGGCTGACTATATGCCAGCTGGTGAGATTCTAGCACACGCCCTCCCACAACTAGAGCGAAATATACACCCGGTCGTTATCATTTCCGCCTTCAAGCGCGCTCTCAAGGATGCGCTAGAGATCATCGACGAGATATCCTTACCCATCGATATCAACGACGACAAGGCCATGTTTGGCCTGATCTCTTCTTCTATCGGCACCAAGTTCGTTTCGAGATGGTCAGATTTGATGTGCAGTTTAGCTCTTAATGCTGTCCGGACAGTCACTTGGGAGGCAGGAAATGGCAAGCAAGAAGTCGATATTAAGCGATATGCCCGCGTGGAGAAGGTTCCGGGTGGAGAGATCGAGGATAGCAGAGTCTTGGACGGCGTAATGCTCAACAAGGATATTACTCACCCCAAGATGCGAAGGAGGATCGAGAACCCCAGAATCCTTCTTCTTGACTGCCCGTTGGAGTATAAGAAGGGTGAATCTCAAACTAATATTGAAATCACGAAAGAGGAGGACTGGAACCGTATTCTACAGATTGAAGAGGAGCAGGTTAAGTCCATGTGCGAGTCTATTCTAGCCTTCAAGCCCGACCTAGTCATCACGGAGAAGGGTGTGTCGGATCTCGCGCAACACTACTTCGTGAAAGCGAATGTCACCGCGTTGCGTAGAGTTCGAAAGACAGACAACAACAGAATAGCTCGAGCGACCGGTGCGACCATCGTGAACAGGGTAGATGATATCCAGGAGTCGGATATCGGAACCAAGTGCGGACTATTCGAAATCGAGAAGATTGGCGATGAATACTTCACCTTCCTTACCAAGTGCAAAACCCCCAAGGCATGCACAGTTCTACTTCGAGGACCTTCCAAAGATATCTTGAACGAGATTGAACGAAACCTCCAAGACGCTATGGGAGTAGCTCGGAACGTTATGTTCCACCCCAGACTATCGCCAGGTGGAGGAGCTACGGAGATGGCGGTCTCAGTACGCTTGAACCAACTAGCGAGGAATATCGAAGGCGTACAGCAATGGCCATACAAGGCAGTTGCCGAGGCCCTAGAAGTCATTCCCCGGACGTTAGTACAGAATGCCGGTGCTAGTCCCGTGAGAGTTCTTACCGAGCTTCGTGCTAAGCATGCAGAAGGCAAGAGCTCGTGGGGTATTAACGGGGATACTGGAGCAATCGTGGACATGCAGGAGTATGGCATCTGGGAGCCTGAGGCTATCAAGCTCCAGAGTATCAAGACCGCCATAGAAGTAAGTTTTACCATAATCATTCCGCTTAGAACGCTTTACTGACTATTATTTTAGGCTGCCTGTCTCTTACTGAGAGTTGACGATATCTGCAGCGCGAAGAAGGCGCAACAAGTGGGAGCACCGGGTCTGGGCGGTGGTGACGATTAAACGGGGGAATAAAATAAAATAATTGATCACGATGTCGAGCAAGCCTACTAGATGCGGAATATTGAGAGGACATACCCCTGTACGAACGGCTGGTCTAAAAGTCACGAGATAAATGAATTAGATGGCTCTGCTACCATTACTGGTCTGTTCATGTTGCTTGTGAGACATTACCCTATTCGTGGAACGATGAAACTACGTCGGTACTTTGATGTCTTGTCGTAAACGATTACAACCTCCTTCTGGCAAGCAGGTGTTTCCTCTCCCAATTTCAATATTGAATAGGAGAGGGCTTTTGTCAAGCATCACTAGTTTAATAACTACCTACTACAAAGTTGTTGAGGGAAGTGACGCCTTGCAAGTCCCACTATTTTGAGAAACTATCCCAACTCTTTAACTTTTTTAAACTTTTAAAAGTTTTCATTAATTGTCCACTTTGTAACATTATATCAGGTAGGTATTTTAAACCTAGATTTAAGACTTTCCGTTTTAACTTTACTTTTATATCATTAAAGTATATTATTTGGGAAAGTACATGGATATCCCAAGCTGTTTTTGTGTTATTAAGAGGTATTTCGCAACAGCATTATTATACGATATGTACTGGTATACGACTTATATCTTATGAGAGTTTTTTGATCTTTTGCTCATGATTCGTATACTTGATACCTAGGTAATTACCTGCATATTTTTTAACGGTAGCATTACAAGTTTAACTATGTAGTGGGAATAATAGTGGCAAGCAATACAAACTCATGACTGAGTCATACGTAGTACACAAATTGAATAAGGCGACTCCTTAAGACTTCCTTCGTCTGGACTCTGGAGTATTAGGCATGTTTGGAGTCTCCTGCCTCACGTCATGGCTTTCTCTTGTAATAGGTACTACTGTCACGAGGTGGAACAAAACAGTATGGAAACAACTTCGTTGTTCCGCAAGGGACTTTAAACTATCTATGAGGGTCTTTCGTTTATACATATTGAATAGGTTTTTTGTTTTAAATGTCTCATCTAAAATCCTGACAACTACCAAAAAGTCCAGCCAAAACATATTAATACTAAATTCAGATTAATTATCAACTCAGTTACACATAAGTAACTTATCAATGCTATTACCAAAAGCTAAATGGCTTTGCTACAAATATCAGTCATATAAAATATGTATAAATTTAAACTATCTGTCGGTATTCTGTGATAAACCCTCAGGTACATAACATGATAAATACAACAAGTATTTTGGTACATATATACCAACATTAGGTACGTATATGTTAGGAAGTCACAACGAAGACAAACCTTATCTTCTTTTGCTGCCACGCAACTGCCCAAGTACAACGTGTGTCACGATCTACTCAACGCGTGCTCAGTCCACGTTGTTACTACTTTACTTATTAGCTCATTCTACAACTTTAAACTTTATATTAAGCGGTCGTTCTTTCCCACACCTCCTTCCAAATAATATATAAAGACAGCTCTCCCGCCACCAGTTCGACATTTTTTCTTCCTCCCACAACCCTCACACAATTTAATTTTCATCTCCAATCTTTATCAACAAGAAAGACAAACACCTTGACTAGACAAGAGCATCACCCTTCCTCGCCTTCAGGCAACTCTTTTCACAAACACCAGGCATTTTTAGACTATTTTAAACCTACTATTAATTCACTATGCCTCCTCTCACTAGAAAACGCAAGGCTCTAGAAGCCGCAGCACAACAGGCTCCAGTACAGACACAACCGGAGACCAAGCAGTCCGTCGAAGAACCTTCTTCAAAACGTCAGAAACTAACTGATCCGTTCAAGAGGATCGATCCCTTCCGCCCCCATTCTCCCCCTCCTAAGACTGTGATTCGCCGCCACAGCCTGGCAACCAAGTTAAAACAACCGTTGCCAGTAGTATTCTTTACTATACCAGCAACCAACCCTTCTAACCAGGTTTCTGCTAGGGGTCGGAGCAGCAACGATTTGAACACAATAATGCTAACTAAGTCTCTATTCGAGTACGCAGAGTAAGTTGTCACTCATAATTATCTTCTTTACTTCCCCACTCCTATATTCAGATCTGTTGCTGGGCACCAAGCAAATACCTTACCGCCTTAGGTATCTGCCACTCCATGTATATTACATTCCACCCCCCTCGTATCAAAATCACTTTTTATTCACTTGGTCCACAACAATCTCCTTTTCGCGCTTCATCCCGCAACATAACATCTCCTAATGAGCATCGAAGCTGACAAATAAATAAAAACTATATGGCTGTATAGCTAACAAGGTGGAAATAGCAAATATGGCGCTGCTGCATTGCCTACCAAGGAGGCCCTTAACGCCTGGTTAGAAGAAAATAAAGATATCTTCATCCAGGCTCGAAAAGAGGGGTATCATCAGCAAGTCACTTCAGCACAATCACCACAAAATCCACCTCGCGCTGCGACTCAACCTGGTGTCTTCCTTGAGACGGCAGCCCCCCAACATAACCCTGCAGCCAGACATCATGCCCCCCAGCGGCGCGCCGTCCCTGCTACTAACCGAATAATTATCTACAGGGCAATCCGCACCGCTCGCCACACTGCGGCTCATATCTTGAGTCAAGCTGCTGCAATCCTTGAGGGCCCAGCGGTAGAACTAGGCATTATGCACGAGGGAGGGCAGCAGATTCAGCAGCAGCCGACGCCCGTAGAGGCGATAACAGTTCATGGCGAAGAAAATAAGAGAGAAGACGACGTTGTCCAAGAAAAGGAAATAACCGCAGTCAAAAATAAAACAGAGCCCATCCGGGTCAGACCAGTGGCACCGCCGTTAGACACGCGCTTCTTTCATCCAAATGGCCAGTTGCAGTCCGTGTATCGGTATCTGACAGCGCAAATCCCACTACCAAGACAATGGGTGCGATGGGCTCTCAATAACGGAATCAACAAAGTGCCAGGGCGCGGAGATATCCGCGAGCCCGGGGTGTATGTCGCAGAGGACACATTCGACTACGATGCCCTGTTTGAGGCGGTTCACCGTGGTTGTTTCCGGACCGGCCGGTTCGAGATCGACGGGTTTAGCGAGTACTGGCCCATGGTACGAGGACATAGAGACAGTACGACGGTAGATCTAGCCTTGCATCACCTCCCGGCTCACCTATCGTCGCTCGAGCGTACGGAGCTTGATGAGAAAGAAGTACAGAAGTCAAATACACCAACGCCAGAGCCCGCTCCCGTATTAGAGACAGGGATAGTAGGTACCCACTCTCCATGTTGGGTAGTGATAAGAACGGGCTGGCAAGTCAACTAAATATATATAGACGAACTCGTTCCAAAACCTCAAACACTCCTCCTGATACTAATCTACATTTATACATTCATCGCCATAGTGGAAAATAATGGCGGCGTAATCGTCCAACTCAACACGCAGTGGCATCAACCGTAATGCCACTGCAGGAGGCACAGATCGTCTTCGCCACCCCGGCCGCCGCCCGCGAGACCTTCTTCCGAAACGAGTTCCAGCCCACTTTGGTGATTATGGACGAGAACGCGCGCATGAGAGAGCTCACCACCGTCATGTGCATCTCTTCTTTCCCTACGGCCAAGCTTCTTCATGCTGCTCGGGGATCCTCGACAGCTACCGCCATTAGCAACAACAACAGTGGAGACATAACGGCAATTACGCTCCAACTATAAGTTGGAAGAACTAGCTGCTTAGCGAATTAGCTTACCCAATGATGCTTGCGCCACGCGGCCCGGAAAAGGTCAAATTGGACTCAGAGGATTATCCGACAACCGTGCCATGGCTTAAGGCATACATTGCCTTGAGACGGTACTTTGACCAGCGAAAGAACCGCACGTCTAACTATCACGGCAAAGGAGCCGTCCTAGTAGCTGCGGTTTCCTATGCACACCATTCATGGATAGGGAAACAATGCACCTTGTGTATCATAGCAGGCGTACCTGACAACATACCTGACAACATATATGGTGTTAAAGATATTATGGACAATGTCAGCAACGACGCGTAGTGGCGATAGTCCCTTTGACGCGGATATGGCCAATCCTTACGGATGAGTCTATACCATACCATCTAATTAGGACGGAGATGTTCTGAACGATACGCGGCTAGTTCAGATTAGCCTATAGGAATAGGCCTCGTACTTCGACTCTAGAAAGATCAAACCTGACACAACTCTTTCACGACCCTGCACATTACCAGAATCCCGCTAACGAGGGTTCCGATGATGATGATACCTACAATGAACTTCAACCTTACAGGTTTAATATCGAACCTAACGATTATGGGATATCCAAAGGCTTCCTTGTCGACACGGATACAGTTATAGGGACAGATAAACCTGCTATAAGGCAGTCTGTAAATAACAAAATACATTAACAATGAAAACAACGTTTGACGCAATCAACTTACCTTTAATAAAATGCTCAACAGTGACGAGAAGCCTGGTAATAACTAACTTACAAGCTTTTCGTTCTAATACTGCTCTTTACAGCTACTTGCAACTAATGTATACATGGACAAACTCATAACATGGCTGTCGTAACCTTTACATGTATCGTAACGTTTTTGATAGATGAAGTCAACCTAGGTAGCCAAGGTTAATTTTGGATTAGATACGTATGGTTAATAAATGGTTTTTGGATATATGCGCTCTTTTTATTGAATATTAAAGCTTTTGGCGTGGTAGGCTGTTAATTTGACATAAGTAAGTAAGTAAAAGATAGTCGTTGTGGTGATATAGTCTTGGAAAGGGGCTCTTAGGTAAAAGGGGTTGCTAAAAAGCTGGTAATATTTAAAAGATAAAATAGCCGGATAGTAATATAGTGACTAACAAATCGACCAGTGAATCTTCACTGCAGGGCGTATTGATGTTTATATAGTGTATAGTTTATATTAGGTACCTAAGTAGGTACGTAAACTATTTATAACTGGATAATATAATCACTTTGCTTTCAGTATAGACAAGACTACCTAACAAATACGCTGATATAGACCCAAGAATAGGTACCTTTTACCGCACCAACCTAACTACCTAACTAACCACCTTGCTATTTAGATCCAAGCCCCCAAACCCCCAAACCCCTAAACCCTCCTCCCCTGCCCCCTCCGCCCACCCACATCCCTCCCAGTCCCAGGCCCAACGCCAAACCAGATCTCCCTAGACCTATTTGCGCCTTTCCACAGCGGCTGCGCGGATATACGCTGTTGAGCGGTATCGACTTGTGTGTTGCTGCTGTTTCTGCTGCGTGTGGCGATAGTAGTAGTAGTAGTGGTGGTGGTGGTAGCGGTGGTGTTATAACCCCCCGTTCCGCGACGAGAAGATTTCTGCGGGAGGGGCGAAGAGGAGGAAGGAGGCGGTGGTGGTGGTGGTGGTGTCTGACGGCGGTCTGCTCTCTGGCGCGATTGCTGCGCTGCGATATATGAGGGCGCTAGATGTGCTACGTGGTTGATGTGGAAGGGTCTTGGGCTGGGACTCTTGGATGGTAATAATGGTGGTAATAATGGTGGTAGTGGTAGTGGTAGTGTTGATGCGGCCGGCGCATCATCATCGTTGCTAGGCACGACTTCTTCCGTGTCTTCCCCCCTGAGCTGTCGTAGTCTTTCCTCGAGGAGTCTGGCCTGCTGCTCTCCGAGGAGTTCCTCGAGTAGACTCTCTGCGATCTGGTGTGCGGTGTTATTACTATTATCGTTATTGTTGACCTCCTGGTGCTCTTGAGCTTGGTTGTTAGCGGGAGTGGCTTCTCCGAGTTTGGCTAGTTCACCACCCAGGTTAGGGTACTGGACTGGCTCGCCCTCGCCAACTTGCTGCTGCTGCTGCTGTTGCTGTTGCGGCTTCTCAGCTTGATCCATTTCCGCCTCGAAGGTATCCAGTTGCTTCCTCTCCACCCCCGAGGCAGGATACACCGCAGCGCCAGCACGCCCCAAGAAATCCCCCACCCGTTTGCGCACGCGGTATACTCGATTCCGCCACTGACTCATCGGCCCTAGAACATCACTACCTTGTTGTGCTGGTGCATCCCGCTCGTCCTGGGCCCTAGGCGAAACCACTCCATTATCGAGATTAAGCAGACGATCCAACGTGTTTCGTCTCTGCTTCTGTCTTGCCTCCTCCACGCTCCTCGCCTTCGGCCTCTGTACATTCGGCCTATGGCGATGAAGCGCACCAGATCGCTTAACCTGGATAAAGCTATCCTTGTGTTTCTCCAGCCACGAAGTAGACGATTCTTCCGCCGGTGGCACATCCGATTTGTGGCCGCTGTCCTGCGGCTCCTTGAGCTGACTAGCAGCTATATTGAAATTGGTCACATGTGGAGTTCCGGACTGTACGTCTTTCTGTTCCGTCACTGATTTCTCCATCGATGTAGGGTTTAAATACTCTGTCCAGATATTGGGTTCGGCACATATGAGGCCATGATGCATCCATGGTTGGCTGTACAGCTTGTTATGTAAAAAATGCCACCACTGCTCAGCCATGATGAAAGGTATAAGAGTTAGAGAAGCGAAAAGTTAAAATTTTGATCGTAGAATATTCGAATGGGAGTCCTGGTAGAAACCAGGGGTTTCTACGAGAAGTGAGCTGGGTGTCTTAAAAGTCTAGGAGCCATGGATTGCATAGGAAGGTATTCAGATTCGTAGCTTTGTTCTTTGCATCCTGGCGCTTGTGGACATGGATGACAAAGGGGACATGTCAATGACTGCAAGTTACTTAGCCCATAACCACGACAATGGTAATATCTAATATTGAAAAGATGACGGCACATTTATTTCAAGATAATAGGGGCCCATAAAGAACAAAGACATTATATTGTAGACGCTTCATTGGGCCATTCTATTCGATATATGCGCTAGTCATAAAGGGTATCACCAATATGAAAATGAGTAACACATACTATGAAACCGATCAAAGCCTCCTTCAAAGCCTAGTATACGCTTCCTCGAATACTCCTATCCTCTTGCTCAGCCTTATCTAGGTCCTCGGCCTCGTCGCCGCCGTCCGATCCTTGGTCGGAGTTGTTAGGCGCATCGCCAAGCCTATTTGCGTGCGCGTGACGGGTAGTTGAGGGCTCTCTGCCATGAGTTATTAGCCCATTCCTCTCCCCGTTCTTAACACGCGCGGCCTTGGCGGCGAGACGTTCGCGAGCGTCGTTCTCTGAAACTTCTTCTTCGCTAGCATGTCCTGAGTAAGTACCTCCGAAGTCGCGACCGAGGTGGAGGAATGTCGACTTCTGAGGAGTTTTGAGCGCGTTGCGCAGCCGATCATCTATCGTTATGAATGACGGCGTTCCGTCTGGCGAGGAAACAACCTCTTCTTGAGCCTTAGTAACGTCGATATGCGGAAGGGCTCTACTGCGAGGATCATCCGAGTCATCATCGGAATTGTTTGGGCCTTGAATTCTCTTAGCTGGGCTTCTTCGGCTGGCTATAGTGCCATTAACCTCTGGAACAGTATGAGTGAGAGCATGCTTAGCACTGTTTTCGTCGTGTTGCCGTAGCTCAGCCAAATCACCGCGTATCTTAAAAGTCTTGCCGTGATTACAGCCTTGAGGACAACCACCCCACTTGCGTGGCAGAGCAGGGGTGTGGTTATGTTTCTCAGCCTTGCTAGGTTCCTTCTCCTTCCCGGTATCAGCTAATTCTTTATCCTCCTTGGCCTTGATGGCAGCTCGTTCGCGTCGTAGTTCAGACCACGTCCGGAGTTTGTTCTCGAGGTCATATTTGCCGCTGTCTATCTGTTTCTTCATGATGAGAAACTCGCAGTGGTTCACGTTGCGCAGGTCTTCAAAATACTCGACGGAGAAATGATACCACTTCATCAAAAAAACGCGAGACATGAGACCGTGGGTGACTAATTTCAAGGTTAGCGGCGAGATCAGTTTATTAATATTATATTGAAATGGTTGCATACCTAGAACGCAGACGCTGGCGAAGTCGTCCTCTCCGAACTGACGCCACAAGCTCTCGTTGAAACCTGAGACACGATCATAAGCATCGGCAGCGCTCTCGCCGTTAGGAATACGGTAGAAGAAATGGCCGTAATCGGCACGTTCTTGCCACATGCGTTCCATCTCGGCACTACACGGCTGAAAGTTTCCAAAGTCCTGCTCACGCAACCGTGGCTCCTCGTATACCTTCATATTGCTTCTCTTAAAAGGCGATGGGTCGGGATCGTCTGACGTTAGGGTTTCTAAAATACCCTCGGTCGTTTCTCTCGTCCGTCGGTACGGAGAGGTATAGAATTGGAGGGTGTCGTCTGGACGGAGTAGGGCTCGTAATCGACGACCGGCGTCGCGGGCTTGCTGCCATCCGTCTTGGGTCAACTTGACTCTATGATCGGGGATGGTCTGGTGGATCTCGCGGTTTTCTATAGTTGTAGCTGTCAGTATTGGGTTTGGCAAGTATTTGGGCAGAGGTGGCGACATACTGTTGCCCTCAGACTGGGCATGTCTGATTAATATAATAAGTCTTGGGCGACCCATGATTGCTGATATAGTATCCTAGAGATATATAGTTTCCTACGATGGCCCTACAACGGTGCTATCCTCCAAGATAGCAAGGTAGATGTCGATTTGCTAGGTCGGGTATTAAAGAAGTTGAAGCTCGGTAGAGTCGACGACGGGGTTCCGTTCAGAAAGGCTAGGTTAGATATATATTTCTAGAGGTTTTGTGGCAAGTCACTCTATCGAGCGGACAGCGGGACAAGTTTGATTCTTGGACTAAGTCAAATGATTTGAAATCATGGATAATAATATACACTCTCGTATTTTAATTATTTCTCTCTCGCTCTCTTTGTAGCATCAGGCTGAGTTGAGGGAGTGAGATATAAAATGATAGGTTGCCGCTTGTAGACGTGGTTGTATGTGGTTGTTGTACAAGCTACTTTAAGAGTGGTATTGTAAGAATGTTAGGTATAATATAGCTTTTATAAATAATAAAGTAGATTTTACCGGCTTAAGAAGGGTCGAAGTAGGAGGGAGCCAAGAATGCAAGTAGGGCCTTGACGCTTGTTTGACTCTGCACTATGTCAGGTAGGAACCGTGCATGGGTTTTGGTTGGAGGGGAAGAAAGCCTTTGAAACGAGCTGTCGGGACTTCCCTGTAAGCTGGAAATAGAGTGTGTTGATTGGTTAAAAGTTTAACCCCTCCATCTGACCGACCAATGGACCCGATTTCGGCTCCAGTATTGGGCTACCTTTTAGCACAATTGATGCAGGGGCCATCCGTGGAAGGTACACCCGGTGGGGTCACTTTTGAGGTTTGCTGGTGCCGGGCTGGCGTGGTATTACCATCCAAGTAATAGTTCCACTCTTTTTTTAATCTTTGCCGTGTAATCCGTAGCCTCATCGGCATCTTCCATCATAGGGTAAGCATCATTAAAATCACCTGTCATAATTTCAGCCTCGTGGTAAAACACGCTATCACAGCCGTTTTTCATATCAATCAACTACATCGGTGCCATTCCTTCTCGATCTAATCTGCCTCTTACACACTTGCCGACGCACCTAAGATCTCCTATTCCTTATCATTACTAGAAAAGGCGTTCGTGTCACGCCACCAACATACGACGCTGCTCTCCGAATCGCCAGAGCTTACCTCCCGCCGGAACCAACGACGGCAGAAGATAGGGAAGGAGGAGGGTCAGCGCCAATCGAACACGTAGCTAGTTAGCTAGCCAGGAACAAGCCAGATCACCCTGGCCTAGACTGATAGCATAGCTAAGAAGCAACCAAACCAGCACCCGGACCCGCGCGAAAAAAAAGGTCAAAATGTCAGGCGAGGGCCCCGAAAGCGTCCCGACATCCGCAGACCCGCGCTCCAAGCGTCCCACCAAGAAGCGCGCCCTAACGCCCGTCTCAGCCCAAGCCCACGTCGTAGAAGCGCTCTTCTCCAAGCCCGACCAAGAGATCCGGATCCCCGACGCGTCCGTCGCGTCGCGCAAGCGGGACCTGCCCCCCCCTCCCGAGATCGTGACCAACGTGCAAGGGTCAAGCGCGGGAGCCGGCTCGGGCGAGTTCCACGTGTACAAGGCGAGCCGGCGGCGCGAGTACGAGCGGCTGCGGCGCATGGACGAGGAGGTGTCGCAGGAGAAGGCCAAGGAGGAGTTTGAGAAGAGCAGGGAGGAGAGGGAGAAGCGCGACGACGAGAAGACTAGGAGGAATAGGGAGAAGCGCGAGAAGGCCAAGGCGAGGAAGGCTAAGGTTAAGAATGGTGGTGGTGGTGGTGGTTGGGGTGGGGGTGGTGCGGCGGAAAAGGGAGATGGTGGTAATAAACCTACTGTGACTACCACGCCGTCGTCAAAAGGTGTCAAGGCCAGGGCTGATGCGAAGAAGGATGACGTGGTAGAGACGGAGAAGAAGACGAGTGGTGAGACGCCCACGAAAGGGGATGACGATGCGCCGGTAGAGGAGCCGAAGGGCATCGTTATCGAGGAAGATTGAGGAGGAATAAGGTGTGAGGGATTGGAATTAATATATACCTAGATACCCAACCAATCAATAATCTCAAGTGAGAAAAGGAGGTAAAAAGTTAGAGGAAAGCTCTGCGTTGCTTCAACAATTAGCATCACACGACCTACGCATACCAGTATAATTGTATTCTAGCATTGTAGCATCACTTGTAATGATCAAAAATCAAAATAAGATAATAATCCTCCGGTATCATGATTGGTATCGAATTGATAACTATGCCCACACAATTGAAACTTAAGTGATATCGCTCCCATCAGGCTACCCTACCCATAAATAAATAAAAAAAGGACATGCAAATCCTGAACTCCTTTATCGGATGAACATCTCGTCAAGAAGAACGAGCGGCTGGGAAGTCTCCCCTTCTGCCAGCCATTCCTGGAAAGCCGTTTCTAGCTAAACCAACAAACCGCTTTTTCCTCCTCTATCAAACGTACCGTTGTAAAGCCGTTAAGTCATGAATGATGAATGATGAATGATGAATGATGAATGATGAATGCTGCCGGACGGGTTTGGCCGTCTCGACTGATGGCCGGCCTGCATTTGTACAAATTCCTCCTAGTAGAGCGTCGCAGATCCCGTAACCGTATGTGAACCTTGGGTCTTGGCCTATGCTCTACCCTATCCTAGTGGTACACGCCCCGTTCAGCAGAAAATACAAAATATTTTAAAATCTCCAACCTCGACCACCCGATGATGTAATCGTGGTATACAACGCTGTCCCTTTTTAAAAACTCTATCTCCTGGGAACGCCATGCAGATGCATCCACCATGTCTTGAAAGCAGCGATTGCTAAGGACCAACTGTCCGCCGACGGCAGAGGATCAGAAGAATTTCGACATCGCCGTGCTAAGGTCAACGAAGTCGACCGGTTTCGTCACATAATCGCTAAAGCCAGCCGCTGCGCACTTCTCTTGTACGTCCGACATGACATTCGCCGACAGGGCGATGATAGGTAACTTCCGATAGTTGGTCTGCGCCTCCCATTGTCGAATCTCCCGGCAAGCCTGGTAGCCATCTTTACGCGGCATATGAAGGTCGCACTGTCACACAATAGTCAGCTTGCTGTCACATCGAACTGGTATCATGCATGTTAAACTCACCAATATTAGAGAGTAGTGATTTGGCGGGTGTGCGAACACCTTCTCGGTACACTCAACGCCGTCCGCGGCAATTTCCGCCTCGATGCCCACTTTGTTGAGATATCTGACCAGTACTTTTTGGTTGACCGGGTTGTCTTCGACAAGAAGCACCTTGTACCCCTTATTACCAATCCGCTTCTCCACGTCCAAATAGCTTTGTTTCTGACTCTCCACCATTTGTGCAGCGCTGGAACGGTTCAAATCCACACTCAGGTCCCGCTCTCTCCCTGGATCGAAAATTACCGCAAACCGGGATGGCTTCACGGGTTTATATACAAACATCATTCGTTTTTCTTCCAAAAGCTTCTGGTGCTCAGGATCTGATGCTAGCCTAAGAACTGCCTGTCTCTGAACAGAGTCCGTCAAGACTAGGACCGACGTCTTACCGCCAGAGCTTGCGATTATTTTATCAATAACTCCTATAATCTCTTCGGCCGAGGGTAGATTAAGAACAACATGGGTAAAGGTAACAGATTCGTGTCCGCCGATCACCTCTTCAGCCTCCGCCACGCTTGCCATTGCCGTTATTTGGTGTGGAACGTCTTTTGGCAACGTCATTTCGATGTGATTCGTCGTAGCTTCCCTGCTATATTTTTGAGGGCAGATGATGAGGATCGAATACATTGGCGGGCGGAATTGTGCCAACCCTATGGGGAATTTAGACCCATCCGGAGTAGGTACTATTTGAGGTGACATCTTTCTTAAAGGCATCTCTAATTTCATCTGGGAAAGATCTTGTCCACTGGCTTTTGCGGCTTCACTGAAGTGCGCGAGACCAACATTAACTGACGAAATCGATGATCTTGTAGTAGTTAGACTACGAACGGACTGAACCGAAGGATCCGAGCTGGCAGATGACTCGGGGGCAACAGGCGATGTAATATCGGCATCTAAGCTGGGACTAGCAGTCGGAGCGGACTCCATCGTTCTCTGTAACAGAAGAGGCTTAATCAAATGCGTTGGCTTCTCTTCCGCTGGAGATCGTACAGACGCAGTCATTGGTGGAGTACTGGCCACGTGAGGATGGTCATCGGCGCTTGGTAAACCAAACTCGGCGGTGAATGTGAACGTCGAACCCTTCCCGGGTACAGCACTGCCGTCCATTTTCCCTCCGTGAAGCTCTACAAGCTGTCTTGAAATTACGAGGCCCAGCCCACTGCCGCCATGTTGTCGGGTGCTGCTTCCATCAATTTGACTAAAGGGTTTAAATATAAGTTCGGCTTCTTCTTTGGAAAAGCCTCGGCCAGTGTCGATGATGGAGAACTCAAGCATGATCTGGTTCTCGGAAAGATTGGCCGCGCTGCTGGAGTAGACCCTACACCGGCTGAAGACCTCTCCGACGCTGGTAAACTTGATAGCGTTGCCTATGACATTAAGAAGCACTTGTCGAATTCGAACCCTATCGCCTTTAACCCAAGAAGGTACATTTTCCTCTACGATATAGTTAAGTTCGAGCCGCTTCGCGATCGCCATTGTCGACACCAATTCGTTGACATCCTCAATGAGGGATCTAGTGTGAAACCATTCGAAACTTAACTTCATCATGCCGGCATCAACCTTAGACAAGTCCAGTATGTCGTTTATAATCATGAGAAGACTGTTGGCGCTTGTCTGGATCGTATTTGTATAATCTCTCTGCTCTTCGTTAAGCGTTGTGTCCTGTAGAAAGCTCACCATTCCAGAGATACCAATGAGCGGCGTGCGAATCTCATGGGACATATTGCTCAGGAATCTGCCCTTAGATTCCATGGCCTCCTTTAACTTCTCCTCCAACAGCTTGTGATCGTTAATATCGGTCGCCGAGCCGAAGTAGGAACTCGCGGCACTGCCGAAACCAACGTCGTCGATTTCCACACATCTAATCAAATGCCATCGGTATTCACCGGACTTAGATCTAAGTCGCACCTCGGTCGTGTAAGAAAGCCGCCCGTTGCTATCTGTCGCAACTTTGAGAATTCCTTGCTTAAAAAGATCCCCTAGATCTGCTGTGACAAATTCACGAGCCGAGCTGAAACTGTTTTTTCGAGACGGACCCCGGCTGCCCATTGGTACGCCTGTGGGTATCGGATTGTGCTCCGTCGACGTAGGATCTCGAGAAGGTGGATCGGGCGTACTCTCTCTATCGGAGAACTCCGCTGTTGAGCGCTCTACCGGTAGTCGACACTTCGCCAAATCGTCCGGATGTACAAAATCTATGAATCCTAATCCTAACGCATCCTCCTCGCTCTGGCCGGTGTAAGATAGCCATTGTTCGTTCGCGAATGTGATCCCGTCATTTTCAGTTGCGGTAAATATTATCTGCGGAATCAAGTTTGCTAAAAGACGGTGTTTCGCTTCCGAGACTTCAATCTCCTGTTGACGCAGTGCCATTAGCTCGGCAACTTTCTGATCATGGATATCCATGTAGGAGCCGATGAATTGTACTATAACCCCTCGCCTATCACGAGAGGCTACCGCACGAGCTTGGTGCCATCGATACGCACCGTCAAAGCGACGAAGGCGGACGGTATGGGCGAATTGGTCGCCCGACCGAAGGGAATGTGTCCACGCGCGCATGTATTCCTCACGATCCTCCGGGTGTAAACTCCCCCAAGGATCCGCGACCAAGTCTGCAAGAGTCTGGCCTCTATAAGTTAAATATCTACTATTAACCCAAACAATCTCCCCGTGCACCGGCAATGCAACAAATACGTGCACCGGTAGTAAGTCCAGCATAAGTCCTTTTAGTCGGTCCGAAGGCGGGAGCATAGTTACATGCGGCGCGGACGCAGACGCAGATCGAATCGGCGTTGTGCACTGTGACGTGGGTTTTGTGAGCAGAGACGTGCTAGGCGGTAAGGACTGAAAGGTTGCCGAGAAGTCGCCGCCGTACGAGTGTAGCATAGTATGCTTATGACCGCTAGATGATATGCTCTGACCAGACAACCGCTTCCGACCGTCGTCGATATCCGACCGTAATTGCTGACTTTCCGTACCAATATTAACATCGGAAAAGTCCTTCGACGTGGGCCTTGGCCTTGATATTTGATTGATCACTACCTCATCGAAAGGATCAACATTACGGGATATAATATCCGAGCCTTCGGCTTCCTTCTCAATTGAGCTCAGGTCTTGCTGGTGTTGAAGAAGGCTTCCTGATCGTCTAAGCTGCTTACCAAAGGTAAGGCCGCCTTCCTTATTACCGAATCGAGGAACACGCTGAGTTAACGATCCTGGAGTTGGTGGCTCTGCGGGAGTCCCTCCGTTTCTAGGGACCGAACTAAAATAGCTGTCGCCTCCCGGCTGGCCGGGGCTGGTACCGGCAGTTCGCCTCTCAACAACCAATCCAAAAGAGCCGGAGTCCCAGAGCGGAGTCCCACTAGGTGAGGCGTTGATACTTCTTGATGGACCAGAGTATTCGCTAGGGCTAGTAAGGCTTCCAGTAACCGACCGCAGAGACACATCTTCAGGCGTCGCAGCATTAAAATGAGCGAGCATAGTAGGGTCCACTACTGGTCGTCCATCAGGGCCAATGGCACCAAAGCCACTAGTAGAGGGTCGTTTCCGATGAAGGCCCATTACTTCTGTCTCGAGAGTTGAATAGTGTCGACAAAGGGAGAAAGTTGCCGCTAAATGAGGTGCCAGGTGTTCAAGAGAGTGGCGCAAGTTGGAGGGATAGGGTATAATAGGGGTTAAGATCGACAATATCGCAATAGGCAGATGTTTGTTCTTGGCTAATTCCTCGGTAGATGGGCGCTCATGTAACATGGCAGAATCTACACCCGGCTCGGTATGGCCCCGCTGAGAAGCCTTCTGTTCTAACGCAGAGGGGTCCAACTTGAATTTTGGGGGAGGTTTTGAAAGGAGAACGTGGTTAAGTGGGACATGGAGAACAGTCCAAGAGTTATCGATACCGATAGTCTCGGGGGGTTGTGTCGATGAATAGTCCTGTGGACTCGGTCCAGGGTTGAACGACTCTTCATCAACTACAGCGTCTGTGAAAAAGGGATTTTCCGAGGGATCGGCTCGGACGGCGGGTGAGGGTGCTGGGGATTGAGACCATGGCGACGGAGGTGCTTGTTCATATTCTTCGTACTTCGGAGTAGGAGGTCGTGGTGGAATATCATCTAAGGCTGAGAATAAACTAGGAAGTTTTTTATCTGTCGATAGCGATTTAAAATTTCGGTTTAGAGATCGAGGTGCGCTCGCATTTGCCAGCAATGAAGATAATTTCGTCTGGGACTCGGTCCTTGTAGGCTTTCTTGCCAACTTCCGAGACTCTTCCGATGGGACGGCTTTGGTACTCTTAGGCTGCTGTTGTTTCTCTTCAGAGGTTGGATCGAGATAGGGGTAGGTGCGAGTTAGAGCAATCACTTTGCCTCGCTCAACAACTCGAGTGATACCGTTATGATCAATAAGCGGATCTGCTTCAAAATCAAGGCCTTGCAACACCGGGAGGAGACGACCTTTGATATCTCGCTTAGGCTCTAGCTTCGCTTCCCATGTCGGAACGGGCTGCTGCTCTTCGATAGCATCGTGCTCCTCTAATGCCTGTCTGTTCAACGTAGGAAGAGGCGAGGTTGGATCATACTTGTCACCACTTGGATAATAACTCTTGCTCCTTTTGACCTGACTCGGTCGCTGAGAACTTGAGCTAGAGGCTTGATCCTTGTCCATCTCTCCAGTATCCTTTTTATCTTCATAAGCTGTAAAAGAGTGACGGTTTTGAATCACCGGACGTTTGGGCCTATCATCCTTTGGAGGTCCTTCGTAACCCGGTACAGACTCGGACTGGTCGTCTACGCTCTTGGCGAAAAGACTAGTCCCTTTCGCGATGTATCCCATACTTAAGTCATCTTCTTCTAAAGCGTTATAAGTGGCTTTTTGTCCCCAAGGTACATTCTCAACATCTGTCGGGTCAGCTGGAATAGAAAGAGTTACCCTCTCGGCCTTATAATATCCAGTCATAATCTGGACAACGGTATTCCACCAAGCCTCCAAGCCAGGTTCCGCCGAGAGCATCAAAGTTAAGTCATAAAGATTAGGTGTAGGAAAGTCAAGACTCGAGGACTTAGTACTAACTCCGGTGGGTAAAAAAGTCATTGCAGAGGCCGGGGACGAGGGGTCCGACCTTAACTGGTCATGTAGCACAAAGCTACCAAACTGTGCGCCGGCAGCATTCACGACTCCAGTTTGAGACTGCTGAGCAAGAACATTGTGTAGGTAAGTCGAGGTGAAATTAGGGGTACCCATGCGTGGAAAGGGGTATGACGGCGTCCGAGCCGTGAAGCTAGGGGTCATACCACCGCGGACTGTCCTGTTAGACTCGCTCGAAGCAGTCGGAGCGTCAGAACTATTTGTCGGCGAAGGTGTCGTGCTAGACTCTTCCTTAATAGGTGAGATTCGTGTCTTCTCCGATACATTTCTCGAAGGCGAGGGGGAGCCTCGAACCGCGTATTCCCGACGTTCCATTTCCCTCGCAAGCCGCGCCCGGTACTCGGTAATAGACCGTTTATTTTCTAAGATCTTGGACGAAGTCTCTGCAATGCTAGCATCCCTATCTTTACTCCTCGCGCCCGTGCCAACTCCTGTAGTTCCTCGCCGCAGTTCATCATTTTCCAATTGCACATCTCCGGCGACGGACGGGGATTTCCCAATACCGACCGCGTCTAATCCACCACTACCACCTCGCAAATTAATGTGGTCTACACTTGAGGAAGCGAGAGTTAGCCAGGGTGCATCGGGATTTGTTGGCCCTACCGCGCTGGCTGGCGAGTTTCGCATGGAATCGGAAATATCTTCAGAGAAACTAGTCCCAGTAGGACTACTCTGCTTCTCGATATTCAATGGTTCAAGGACATTAGTGTCATAGCTAGAGGAAGAGGAAGAGGAGGGCGACAGCGTGATGAGGTTACGTGGTTCGTCCGGGGTTGAGTAGTGGTGATGGGGTGGCATTCCTCGTTTACGGCGCCCCCATGCGGCAGTATCGGGGACGGATCTCACTACGTGCTCGTGATCTCGGCATTCGCTCCGTCCAATCCAAGAGATATTCGTCGATAGAGGAAACTAGACAGCATAGGTTGGAGAATAGGTGTTTGAATTGCCGTATGTTGGTTGGGTGACAGTAACAGTGAGGAATAAGGATGTGATTCTTTTTCGGCTAGGACAGATCAAAACCGGTAAGTGGCATTGCCTTGTGTCGATTGCAAGGCTCATCGCTAGTCAGCGGCCGGTTGGGTCACTACCTACGTCAGACAGTGTTCTCGCTAGCAATTGATACGGTTCTATCTTCGATTCGGGAACGATGGTGGCGTGTAAGCTGAATATAGCGTTATGACATATGTATGTCAAATAAGTCAAATAGGTCAAATAGGTCAAATAGGTCAAATAGGTCAAATAAGCTACTTAAGGTGCTAGGGGCGGCGACAACGACCTAAAAATGTCATCCCGATTAATTTTGGTTTTCTTACTTCAGCTCGGTTACAATGGTGTTAAAACGGTGTTTTAGGGTAGGCGAGTCAAGAGGAAATAATTAGTAGCAAAGCAATAACGGTGGTGCTCGCCATTCCCACTGGCAGACTGGCTAAACTGCAGCAACTGCAACAACATCAGGCGGAAGGGGGGAAGGGAGAGAGCTTGAAAGTTGCATCGGTACATCCATAACGGGTACACTAAAAAATTAAAAGACAGGCATGAGGTTTGACTGGTTAGGGACTGGTTAGGGGACAAGGCAGGTGGGTTGTATGTCCACGTTCATAATTGCATTTCTTGGACTCTTTCTACCCAATCAAGACAGACGACGCTACGAAAAGTACCCTTAGCAGTACATACCTAGGTACCTTAGTAGCTTAGCAGTACCCTTAGCAGTACCCTTAACAGGGTTACGGCGCAATGGTAATCTGTTTCCCCGCCCAGCCGAGGGAAGCCAATTCTTCCAACTCTCGCATGGCCTTGGATCTTCAATTCTTCATTTACAGCCCACAGCCCCGAACCCTGAAAAAAACACAATCCCATTTAACCACTTGACAACGGCACCCACTATTACCTCTCAGCTGCGCAGTTGACTAGCCCTCCATCCTCTCATGTGACCTCGCCTCGTCACAAATTTGCGAGCTGCCAGGTTGCGTTGTCAAATAGCTCCGAGCGAGGTAGCGGATATTAAAAAGACTTTATTTATTTATAAACCCGCACGCGTGAGGGAGACAATTTCCCCTACTTGAGGTACGAAGTGAAGTAATTTGATGATATATCTGTTATCATAAATAAATACAAGCCAACGTGACCTCGACATACTACGTATCGACGCAAGATTGTGTCATTCAAGTGTCAATAATTCGTCCCTTTGTCGATAAGAAATAATGAGCGGTCAAGCGCGAGTACATATATAAATAATAAAAAAGTCACATCCATACGTTAGGTAAATAGGGGGTGGGGGGTTGGAGTCTTGAACGGACGAATGCTTTCATGATCTTCCCGACCCTAGCCCTCGTTGACCCAACCTTCTAGTTATAGTAGATGCAACTATTAATAACTACTACGCACGTAGCCATGCAGGTAGTTCTGCTAGTCTTTTTTTAAGAGGTGAGGCAAAAGAGGAGGGGGTGGTAGATTTTGATAGTCCTGTCACTCAACAAGTATTGAGGCTTTCCCATCTTTTCAAATGAAGTTGTTCAATCGACTTGATACGGTAAAGTTGAAAGAAAGGGACATAGCGAGCTTATTCTCCAAATGGTAGATGCAATGCAAGGTCGGTAGGAAAATACATGTACATGAGTACCTATTTAGGGTAGTACGAACATGAGCCAAGTGCGTCATTGCATTGTGTACGTCATCTCACTTGCATGGAATTTTATAATTTGTTGCACGGTTGTTAGCTGCCGGATGAGATTGTCCGTCGGGAATGTTGTTGTTAAATATTAAATAATGTTGAAGGTTCTTTTTTTGGTTACTGGCACTATGTACAACCAAGCTGTCGTTCCAATACGATTAAAATGGTCGTGCTGCCGATCCCGATGGAGTAGGGTGCTCGCAATTGCAAATTTCCTAACCCAGATTTCGATATTCTACGTACCCGTGCCATAACGTAGCGCAAATCGGATGGAGTGGCTGAGTGATAAAAATAACGACAGCTCAGAATAATAAGATGCTTCTCGAAAATACTTCGTAAAGGTTATGTTAGTATGATAACACCGTATTCCTTAATTGCACCATCACAAAAATTGATTTACTCCCGTAATTCGGTTGTAAAACTTCTTCATATGCAGCTTACTGTATAGTCTGTCGTCTGTACTGTCTGTATGGTTTTTTGGAGAATTCGGCCCTCGTCTCAAACTCTCCAACTGTTTCATACCTTTGACGCACACAAAGGCATAACCTCGTCTGTGGAAAGTGTTTCAAGATGACGAAATATGTCTCATCTCGCGTGGCATCGCACATAACTCCATAACCTATCAATGATGCTGTGAACCGAAGCAATTTCCATCGTTATATCTAATAGAAGGGACCAGGGGCAATTGCAGAGGATGACTTACCTTGACAGCTTGTCCACTTAACAGGTACCTAGATAGGTAAGTATACAAACTCGGAGTTTGCGTAGTATACTAATAATCCGTCCCGGAGATTAAGGGTCCTCTCGTTTTCTATGTACATGCTCATGGACCAAGATGGATCAAGAGATTATATTTAGCGTCCAATGCCAAAAACACTGGCAAATACTAATAAACCATTGTCTCAGACCTCTCAGACAGATAACCCTGCGTAACCGGCATCGAAATCATGACGCTCACAAACAAGATATTCGGCCTTGGAATTTAATTTGGAGAAGGGAAATTCTTGATTAAAACCACTTAGACGTCTCTAACGCCTCCAAAAACTGTCATCATGCGGGAAACATTAAATGACCTAGCCAAGACATGATCACGATAAAGTATTACAGAAAATATGAAAATCGATATTAGTAATTATTTTTATCGGGGCGTCTGTACGATCCTCGAAACGAAGAGAATTGTGGCTTAAGTAGTACCTATATCCTGGAGTATTGTATGTATGTGAATATGGATATGGCTCTTAGCCCGACTTTTACTCCCTCGCGGAACACTTGCCGGCCAAGTCTTTTCTCGCTTGCGCCCCGGCAGTCTTTTTTGTGACTTACAGCTGAGAATAGCGTCTGCCCAAGGCCCACAGCCCACAGCAATTCTCTCTACATCCCAGCCACCTGGGATGGGAAGGACAATACCGCATGAATTAGGTCATTATCCACTTACTCGCCTACGGAGCACTAAAATAGGCTTTTCTTCTACACGGACAATACTCGGAGCGGTTTAGAGAAGCTCCCTAGGGCTGCTACTACGCTGTCCTTCGCGTGACCATCAGCTTCCCACGATCTGCTTCGTTGATATTCGATCAAATCGTAAGCTAATAGAAAGATGGTATGGCGTGAATTCTCATCGTTAAGCCTTTTTTACCTAGAGGTGGCACACACGATCTACGTTGTCTCACGCCGGTCTCTCGGAGGGTTGCTGAGAAATTTCACGCCGATCGTTTCCCCGTGATATACAGATAGGGAGATCAAAATCAACGGGAATACCTAAGCTTTTATTCGCTCCTATGTATTCCGATCCGCACTCGTCCTTCCGAGATAGTTAGACTGCATGTGCAGCACATGTGGAGGCCGAAAGCCATCACCAACGTCGCACGACATATCATTATGATTGAGTGGCTTACCCCTTATCGGTTGAGATCGTACTCCTGATGTGTAGCTTCGAGTGTCGCTACATATCCAATATGCTACAAGCCAATATCATGCCTAGGCAACGAAGTATGTCTGACAATATACACATCGGTGGTCTTGGAGGCAATACTCAACCCCTCAACGGATTAAGACTGGCTTCCCTCGAGGTCCAACAAGACTATTATTCATAGGGTAAGATGCCGAAATTATAACATGAAGTAGCCTACTCCTTGCAGGCCCTTCTAGGCAAGCCATTGACGTACCTACTTATGTGAGCCTTCTATTTCTACTGCTCTCTATGAGGGAAATTTCGTCCGCTGTAGTCACGGAACTGTGTCAGCCAGCCAGTCAGTCAATAAAGATTCTACATTGATACCCTCCTAAGCCCTTCCCATACGAGCTCAGCAGCGATACGCCATGAATCCTATGCACTACTGCTCAAGGCTTATGAAGTAGGGTTGCCTCGACATTGAAGGATTGTAAGAGAGTGGACTGATGAACACATGCCAACTCTTGTCAGGTGTCCCCCGACGTCGAAATAGTTCCGACAGGGCGTCAATACACAGCATACATTGGCCGTAGGACGCTTATGTATGTCTGGTCGGCGTATTCACGGCAAGTACGTTCCCTCAATCCAACTATACAAGGCTACGGGCGTCGACAGCGTGCAGAAGGCTATACAAGGATAGCAAGGCCATCTCTCCTAGGGCTTAGGAGCTGTGATACCATCGTCCCTGCGCAAGGTTACTGGTCTTTAATTGAAGCGGACGGGTCTCCGGTGACAAGGGAGAAGCTTCAATAATGTAGTGTTTGCTTTAGCTTTTCAGGGGTGCGAAGCGACATCCCAACCGTGGGTTGTTGGGTTCGGGAGACGTATTTACCGGGCTCGTATTTTCTTGGATTACGCAAATCCTACGTGATCATGTAGTGTCGTCGTGGTGTGGAAAGGATGAGAGGGTGATGTAGAAGGGTTGGAGCATGAACCTACAGAACTCAAAAATGAACATAGATATAGGTACGTGTTTGAACAGATTTCACTAAGCCGGGTTGTGCCGTCGTCTAACCCATTCAAACCCTAACTCCCTTCTTTACGTATCTCTCAATTCATATACACAGGGCTGAATGTTCTTATTTCTTAAACTAACAATCGGGGGTACCAGAGCAAGGTCTAGTAGGCTATTGAATTCTTACCACAAGAGAATTCCGATCGGGAGTAAGTCCCAAAAGAAGCCAACTACCCTAACAAGCAATAAGTTTCGAGAGACACGATGGTTGTACGAGTATGTGGTGTGTACCCTTTCCCGGGAAGAATATCCATGAGGCTCAACATACGCTACCCGCGTAACAGTACCGGATTTCACAGTTTTCACCTAATGTAAGCCTATGTTAATGTGGATTTCCGGACTGATGACATTGAGGCTTATACGATAACACTGGCAACGTTACAGCTATGAGATATGTACGTTTCTCCAAGAAATCTGGTAGTCTTTTGGAAACTCATGTCTGTAACGAGATGTTCAAGCCATGCCTCATTTTTATAGTGTTACAGTCGCAATCGAGATCCTAGCATGAAAGGAAACTGTGTTGGATAGACTTAGAACACCCTCCCGTTCTAAAACGAGGTCGCTCTCGTGGTGATCTAAGAGTTCGTACGCGCTTTAGTTTAGTTGAGTGAACACGGAACATGAGTCCTAATAAAAGGGCGACATCTTTAACTTTGAAGCTCTCAAAGGCGTCGTCAATAAATCTTTGAGGAAGTTCGGTTGAGAATGCGCCGTTAGGCCATACAGCTTTAACTTATACTTGTGATAGCTATGTGACTGAGGCTTAAGTGACTACGTACTTTATATTAAGGTGTAGTTAATGTATAGTTACATGTATATACTTTAGGTACTTTACATATATCAGTTAACCTTAAAGCAAGCTAGTTAACTAACACATGGATGAGTTTCTCTTCTAAAATGAAATGTAAAGTCTAGTCTATAGCACCATATCTAGCATCTATTATAAACTGACATTCCTGTAGTGGATGATTTACAATTTTGATATAACCAAATAGATAGATACCTACTTATAACTCATAGTACCATTAGCTAGCCTGACATATTGAACGCAAACATGTTATAATCTGGTCGTAATTTTGAAATCAAAGGTCCTTAAGTTTTAATGGTATACGTAAATATGTTTTAGTGGCTTTTTAAAGTAAAAGACAACTCTATACGTTGCTGATTAGCTACTCGATGTTTTCTCTAAGACGCACGCCTAGTTAAGCGTTTACCATATGTTGATTCAATCAGCTAGCTGCCTCGTAGTGGCAAAAGAGAATAGCTTAAGACTCAATGATGATGAAAGAAGAGACATCGTTCGTTCCTGTCAGCCCATCAGCTAGCTCCACTTGCCCCTTTCTGGAAGTCTGGGCAGACTAGGATAAGCTTCCGCGTGTATTAGTGACGCCCTTGAACCAATCAGAACCTAGCATACACGGTGAATAAAGTAGCTACCCCAGAAATTAGGTACTCCATGTCCTATTCGGGCTTAGTCTACGGGGTGTTCTGCTGTTCCGTCAACAGGACGCCACAGGACGCCATGGGTTTCAACTTGTCTTTCCCGTTCACCACCTAAACGCCCAAAACGCCCAGCTCGTCTAAACGACCTCTCATCATCTCATACATATTTATATTGATTGCTATTTGTAACGACTTCATAACTACAGATATGCGCAACCCGCTATTATCTAGGTAGCTAAGTTGTACTATGCTATAGCCTATAGTAGGATTATTCTACGGAGATCAGAATCGGTACTCTCATAAGAGTGCCTGTTACCGTCGTCGCTTAGCTCGAATCCATCGTCATCAATCAACAACCATGGCTGACCGAAGTCAGCGTCCAAATGGCGAACGGACACCCCTGCTTCGTGATGCAACTAGTAACCATGTCGACGAGAGCGGAAGGGATGCGACTACGGAAGAAGATCTCGCCCTTCTTAATGGTCAGGTTAAAACCTGCAGGCGCCGCCGCTGGGTATCGCTGATTGTCAGCGCCTTTCTCATCGTCGCTTTCATCGTAATATTAATTTTATCTGGCCGTAAGTGTTCTTCCCGAGATAATACCGTCATTTTCGTATCGAGTCCATCAGGTGTTAGACTTGCTAGTGTTCACGATGTTGGCTCTTCCGCGTACATACACCACCCATTTAAAAGTATCACTGAGCTCAAACTCTGTGTTATGTTACTACGTTTCTTCATCCCATCGACTAGATGTTGGCAGTCTTTGGCTACATAGATTGGATAGATGTCGTACCCTGACGCAATCCGTGGACTGGCAGTAAACAAAAATTACATTGATCCGCGAATTCTTCCTCCCCACTTGATCAAATTCGACTCGAGCCTGCAACCTCACATTTGCAATTTTGCCGTAACCTTATCTTTCACTCCTTCGCCAAAACTTCAACTTTCTATCTTCTATTATACTTCCTTGCATCTACTCGGAAGCCATCTTCTAACATTATTATAGTCCTGCCACGTGCCCGACGGAAGTCTGGTATGAGGCCTGGTATGAGTTCATCGTTATGTCTGTCACCGGCCGTATGTAGCACTTCGAGTTCCCTTACCCCCTATGGCTTGTCTTAAAAGCAGGACATCATAATCGAGCTCGTTGAGGAGTAACTTCACTCGAAAGCAGCCTGAAACCCCAACAATTATGAAGAATGGAAATCGTTAACTTCTATTTACTATAGTGCATTCACGCAGCGTCCGAGATTCTCTGTTAGTCAATCCCGTAATCCCTAATCCAGTGAGCAGGAGCTTATTGTAATACCAGATAATCTATCTCCGGATTATGAGACAATCGATCCATGCACGAACTTTGACACCCTTGTCTGTGATGGATTTATCAACCGTCATGACATTCCGCAGGATAAGTCCTCCTATTCGACAGCGACTATTATGTCTGAAAATGGTCAAACTACCCTCAGACATATCTTAGAGTCTCCCTATCCAACTACTTCAAAGGTAAGCGCGTATTTACTTTGACTTGACGTTCGAGTTCAGTCTCCTAGCCTTATAATATACATAGGATAATATATGGAAAATATAGTCATACTCTCCTAATCTTCAAGTCTTGGCTATACTTTGCTAATGTATGCTTTATATAGCACTCTTCGTTTTCGCCGCAGAATCTCATCAAGATTGCTGCCTCTACCGACGAAGAGAATTTCCGTATGATACAGGATGCTTACAACTCGTGCTTAGACGAGGCAACTCTTCAGAAAGTAGGCGTTGAGCCCCTTGTCGACTTAATAAACCAAGTTGCCACGTCTTTCCCTGTTGACGATGCTTATGGGAGCGATTCACCACTTGAAGAGGTGGACTATGCTGCTCTTAGTGATACCATTCTACTCCTAGAAAAATTAGGGGTTTCTACCTTTGTGGGCCTTACTGTTGGTGCAGATGACAAGAACCCCGATGTGGCTATTGTCCAAGCATACCCAGCAGGATTAACGTTGCCTTCGCCGGAATACTATCAGGATAATGATACCGTGAGCAAGTATGAAGCTATGCTAGGAGAAATTTTCACTAGCCTCCTTCCGAGCAAATCTTCGAAATCGTCAGCTAAAGAACTTGCTCAATCCGTCATCGAACTTGAGAAGAAGATTGCGGCGGCAACGCCACCTCCTGAGGATCAATCAGATGTCACTGTGAGTAAAATTACATATCTAATAAAAGGTTCGCAGGCAGAGCTGACCAAGTTAGAAATACTATAACATCGTCAAGGTTGCTGATACCGGCAAGATCGGTCCAGCAATCGGGCTAGACTATATCGTCAAAGCCTTAGCCCCCCAGAATTACACAGCAGATACTATGCTATTGGCATTCCCGGAGTTCCTCGGCAATGTCTCCGACATTCTCTCTAAAACTCCCAAGTCCACCGTGCAAAGCTATTTAGTTTGGCAACTAGTAAACCAATATTCGTCTTACGTCGAAGGACCTGAAGTCCAGCCGATTGTTCGCTTTTCTAACACTCTATCTGGAAGGGTATGTACCTATCTATTGCCTATACTCAGGAGTAGCAAATGTTTAACAGTTTCTAGGACCCCGACACCAAGACTGAGCGATGGAAGACTTGCGTTAGTTATGTTGATTCTACACTAGGTTGGATATTGAGTCGATTTTATATTGAGGCGGCCTTTTCAGAAGAAGCAAAGGAATTCGGTGACCAGATTATACTTGACATCAAGAAACAATTTATTTCGAAGCTGAATGATCTCAGTTGGATGGATGACTCAGTCAAAAAATTAGCTGTCAACAAGGTGAACAACATCGACCAGAAGATTGGTTTCCCAACGACCTCTCCGAACATAACAAATCCGGAGGCATTGCAAGCTTACTACAGTGGCTTGAAAATTTCTGATTCCTTCTTCAACAACACTTTATCGAGCAATGCCCAAGAAGTCAACAGGACTTGGTCAGCCCTTGGGAAACCAGTTGACCACGGCGAGTGGGGTATGCAAGCCGACGTTGTTAATGCCTACTACAGCCCTGTAGGGAACGAAATCGTCTTCCCAGCCGGTATCATGCAGTTCCCCGTCTTCCAGCTGGAGCTGCCGAGCTACGTATCTTACGGTGCTTTTGCATCGGTTGCTGGCCACGAGCTTTCCCATGCGTTCGACAACTCCGGCCGACACTACGACGAGCATGGAAACTTTACAGACTGGTGGACAAACAATACAGTACAGGAATTTGACAAGCGCGCCAACTGCTTCGTGGAACAGTACAGCAACTTCACCGTCCAGGGCAATAGTGGCGAGCCCCTACACGTCAACGGAAGACTTACTCTAGGAGAAAATATCGCCGACGCAGGTGGTGTCTCGGCAGCTTTCGCGGCGTGGAAGAGCCGGACGGAGACATCACCCGACCAGAATCTCCCCGGGCTGGACTTCTTCACGCAAGACCAGCTTTTCTTTGTCTTCTACGCCAACTGGTGGTGCGGCAAGAACCGCAAGGAAGAAGCCATCCGGCGCATCTACACAGACCCACACTCGCCGGCGTTTGCGCGCGTGTTGGGAACGACGGCTAACTCGAAGGCGTTCAGGGAGAGCTTCAAGTGCCCGGTGAAGGAGCCTACGTGTGAGTTATGGTGATCGGGGGGAGGGGGTCATGCCTGGTAAATAATGTGTGTTGGTTGGTTGGTTTAATCAGAAATTGATGTCTTTTGTATTCGATAATTTGACATAGGGAATTAAATGCCATTGCAATAATGTTGGCTTGTCCGTGATTACTGTCTCGTCTGCTTTTATTGTGATGAATATACCTTTGGATACATGTAATCGTAAGTTATTACTCGACATGACATTTGGTTGCACATACAAGTCTTAATAATGCCATAAACCCAGATATAATCATGCGGAGTTTTCAGAGCAAGCTTTCACTGATGGATTCTATTAGTACAACTTTCATCTCTAAACTCGCAAGAGGATCATAGTTGGATAGGATGCCACATCCTTTGTTATTACTATCTCGACCTTTCTAGCTTCAACATGAGCTATCTTATCATGTCAAGCGGTCCTTTTACATGTCCACCATGACTATAACCATAACCATATAACTACCAAATTTTGTGTAGAACTCCATTAGGATGAACGCTTCCGTACCGAACCAACCGAATCGATGATTTGACGCCATAGCCAAACACGGGAGAGAAAGTATAGATAGGGAATTAAAACCCCCATAAAACTACCTCATATACCTGGTACGAACTGTCAAGGTGCACACTGTAACATATCATTATTCTGCAATGCGCTACATGGTGCTTGGAAAATTGCGTCCTCTCATAGTATCTTCCAAGAGGTACCCATTGCTTTAAAAGCCGAGCTTCTGCTTCTTGATCCGCGGGTAGACGCCGACAACTATTAACAACGAGATGACGATCGTAGCCCACAGCTTCACCCCTAGGACGTCCAAGTTGTAGTCAGTCTGTGTCGCGCTGGCCACCGTGGCCGCAAGGAACAAGAGCAGGACATAGCCGCTCGAGCGGTGGTACTTCCAGATGCTCTTGGCTTGCGCCTCGCCGCCATACAGCTTCGGGACAGCGAACATCGTGAACCCAACTAGATACTGGGCCAGCAGCCAGAACGAAGCAATGACGCCCAAGTATGCGTGGACAGAGTGGAAGTGCGGGCCATTATTTATGGACTTGTTGACCTCGATACTAATGACGCCGACGCCGAAGGTGACAATGCCCAGGAAGTTTAGCCCGGCGTGGATCTTCTGGCCGACTTGCTTCTGGGCGCCGGTGTGCGTGGGCTGCAGGACGAGGATCGACTGGATGAGCACGAGTAGGCCGAGCGATTGCGCGAGCGGGTGCACCGAGAATAGGATCAGTGGCCCGTTGAGGAAGACGGCGGCCCAGACGGAGGCTACGAGGAGGATGCCGCCAATTTCGGCGATTACGCCGGTGCCTGAGGATTGTATGAGCTTTGGCATGGTAAAGTAGAGTAGAGTAGTAGAGTAGTAGTAGCAGTAGACACGATAGTATTGAGTAGCGAATATACACTATAATCAAGACGTCTTTCTAGAAGCGAAGGCAGAGCAAGGACTTGAAGAACATTACATCTATGTTAATAGAAGAGAATAAAGAAATAAAAAACCATACCAATGACGAGGTTTTTGATTATGGGAGCATTGTCTCTTTGAGAAACATCCCCCGGGTGGCCCAGAAGAGGTTCTAGATCGTCTTGTTGTCCGTTGTCGTTGTCCGAATCAACCGGGGAATGTTGGGGTATTCCCGTCGCCGAAGCCATTCTGGTTATTTTTAATTAAGTGGTGCACTACCGGGGTATTTGTATGGTGTATATAAGTATGTAAATGACGGATTCGAAGCAGTGCGTGACGTAGAGAGTTAAAAGGAAGCAAAAGAGATTAAAGATTAGGATTGGTTTAACTACATGTAGAGCCAGACGGAAACTCTTTAAAAAGATGCTCTGTTTCGTATCATCTTTTTAAACCAACGTAAACTCCGAGCTAAGTTCCTAGGTTAAAAGGATCGAGCTCATCATCGACAGCGGACATGACGGGCTAGCTGCTGAAAGTAAGCTTCGACCTATCAGAGCCCTGCGATTCCCAAGCAGTCGCTGTATTGTAGGGAGGACTACGTATGTGACTTACATAGGTGTCTAAGCTAGTGCGGGGGAGTTACACAGATAACCCCTGGTTCGGGAAGGTCTTTTGTACTTGTAATATGTACTTGTAATATGTACTTGTAATAAGTACAGACCAATTTAACACGGGAATATATTTGATATCGAGTATGAGGGAAATGCAAGATATCAAGTATATATAACGTGCGATACATAAGGGGTGGGATCGAGAATTGTATATAATGTACCTAATATATGTTATTAATCTATAGACGAAAAATAACGAATTATTGGTATGACATAGGAGGATACTACACTACATAGGTTAAAGACAAACAAGAGGAGGGACATGCGGGGCTGATATACATACCTCATACATGTAAATGATATTACACATGTCATACCTAAGCCGCTAATCATACCTTAGGTACCTAAGTGTAAATCGTCAATTGGTCGATAGACAGCAGATTTCCCGTCCGGTTGTAATATATTAAGATTACCTAAGATCCCAATACACATACCTATATTTTACATAGCTATCTCCCGTAGGCTGTAGCCGTATTCCGGAGCTTGCCCCACTAGATTAGCGCCTCGCGACTTCGAGGTCGGAATGGCAGAATGAGTAGACAATGTGAACCTAATTTGCTTCTTATGTCACATTGTTGAAACCTTACTTCTTAAAACCCCTATTTTACAGAGAAATAATTGTAGTTACCATTAAACATGATTGAAGACATCGAGTACAAATTAGACGCTGTCAAAGCCACGCCAATCGCCTCGGATGAAATCGATAAGACTTTCCGATCTACTAATATCGGTATGTGAGCATGAGCATGTGTAGTGGTAGAGGAAAGAAAACACATGAAAAATGAAATATCTGGGACCTGAACTTTCTTGGGCTAATTCACATCCTATCAGACTTAATTTCTGGAACATTGGGAGGCAAAGTCCTGGGTTTCTCGGACCAATGGTTTGCCGATGCTATCAACCTGCTGACGCCTACGCCTCCTATTAGGCAACCTGGTAAAATGGTCTACACAGGTGCCTGGTATGACGGTTGGGAAACAAGAAGGCATAATCCAGAGCCCTTTGACTGGGTTGTCATACGGCTCGGCGTTGCCTCCGGAACTGTGGAAGGAGTTGAGGTTGATACCGCATTCTTCTCCGGCAACCATGCTCCGGCAATTTCCGTCGAAGGCTGCTTTTCCGTAAACGATGACGAAGTTCTTTCATGGAAGGGAGAAAGGGGGAATTGGGAAACCATCCTCGGCATCCAGGAATGTGGTCCCTCGCAAAGATTTGGTTGGAAGTTGGATAACCCTACCTCGAAGCAGTACACGCACGTTAGGCTGAACATGTATCCCGACGGCGGTATTGCGAGATTTCGACTATTCGGTCACGCAGTACCGGTATTCCCGGACGACGTAGATGCAATTTTCGATTTAGCTGCTGCTCAAAATGGCGGCGTAGCAGTCTCGTGTAGCGACCAGCACTTCGGCACAAAGGATAACCTCATCCTACCTGGCCGGGGTAAGGACATGGGCGATGGTTGGGAAACTGCACGTTCTAGAACTAAGGGGCATGTCGACTGGGCTATCATCCGCCTAGGTGCTCCGGCCCTGATTCAAAGTTTCGTGGTGGACACGGCTTTTTTCAGAGGAAACTTCCCTCAGAAGACGAAGCTTGATGCTATAGAGTGGAAAGGGGCTGGGGAGCCTGCGGCGGACGCCGAAGGTTGGACTGAGGTCCTCGAGCCTAGTCGATGCGGACCTGACCAGGAGCATAACTTTGACTCTGCGATTAAAGACCAACGCTTCACTCATGTCAAACTTACCATCATTCCTGACGGAGGCGTAAAGCGGTTGCGGGTGCTAGCTAAGAGGGCTATCTGAGTATGTGGTTTAGTTGATGGAAAGGGGGTGAATCGCTTTCCCAATACATAATGTATACTTTATTTACTAAGTTTTAGCTCTAGTACAACTAATGCCTAGGGATTGCGATTAAAGATCTCTTATCACGGTTATTGGTAAATATAAATGAAGTTGAGGATTTGAGCTTATAGTTTCACTACTTGAACAAGTAAAGAGTAAATCAATGGTTTAGCTGAGAGGTATAGTCGTACCTGCCTCTTAGCACTGCAACTGTACTATATATAGGGGTAGCGCACGGACCAATGCATATAGTTCTGATATGATTGTGGCAGTTCCATTGTGGCTATCATGTCATCTACCTATCTGTCTAGGTAAATGTTCTAATCTAAATGCTTGGCTTAGTGCATACTTTAACCATACTTTAACACTTTTAATGCTTTTAATGACGAACGTCCTCATTGAAGTCTAGCCCGATATAAAGACCCACAGATCAGTCAATAAGGAATCTATCTCCCTTCTGAAAAGCATGGTTGTCCTCCTATTTAACGCGACGAGTTAAACGAGTTCTTGAGCGAAATATTCCTATGCCTCGCACTTGTCGATGGATTTTGGGGATTCTGATGGCGGGGGCTTTGGCGGGGAGCAACCGTCGAAGCCTCGAGCTCTCCCAGCTGACCTCCCAAAGTCTCTAGATGACCGTAGAATTGTATCGACAGAGCTAGTCCCTGAGACTGAGATGTACGATGGCTGGCAAGGTTTGTGACCTACGACGCTTGTCTGCAAGCTGGGTTGAAACATTCATTTGGATACTAATCGTGGCAACTTCTTTCTAGGTCAATCCCAGTTCTTGACAAGCCCGATGCTTGCGAAGCCGCTGCAGTTTAGCGACCTAACTTTAGACGATCGTAACTACGATCAAGACTTAACTACGAGCATGCCCGATAGCGATACGCGACTGATGCAGATGCTCGCAGCGCAAGCCCAACACCATGGAGGGGAAGCTTTTGGCGATGTGGATGCTATTGCGACAGATGAGAAACTTTCAGACGAGGAGAAGACCTCGATACTTCAAAAGGCCTTGATTATGTCCGCGAGCAATGGCGACCTTGACAACGTAAAACGGATACTTAATGGGAAGGCAAGGTCGTTCGTTGATATCAATGCGCTAGATGAAGAGGGAACGCCATCCTTGGTTTATGCGAGTTGCTTTGTTAGTGAAGATATTCACGGCCCACGTCTATTACTTGATCGCTAATTTCGCCTAGGGACACGAAACTGTAGTGCAGGCTCTCGTAGATGCTGGGGTCGATGTAGACAAGCAGGATCGCAACTATTGGAGCCCCTTAATGTGGGCAATGACGAATAGACACAAGGGCATTGCAAAGATACTGCTAGACAATGGAGCGTCACCGGAGGCGAAGACCTCGTCTGGAAGAACAGCTTTTGATTTTGTTGCACCCGACAGCGAGATGTCGTTCTACTTACACGATAACGGCTATAGCCTTGGGAACGCTGGGGTGACTGATGACTTCTATAACCCTGGCTTCTCCCAAGATAGGTTTGAAGAGGAGATGGCCGAGAACGAATTCCGTCGACGAATGATGATGGATAGCGCACGCGACCTGGAGGTTGATTTGGGCAATATGGGAATAGACGACCAACCTGAGGTAAGTTGCTCCAATCTCGAAAGCAAGACTGACCGACTAACTGATTATCATAGCCCATGGACGAGTTCGAAGAGGATCTACAAGAATTTGACTGGAACCGGTGTTTGCATGACCAAATGTTCGTATTTCAAGAGAGCGACCTAGACAAGATGCTCGATATTGTTATTACCAAGATGCAACCTCAACGATCACCTTCCCAGAAGCCTGTTCCAGCAAATATGATCTTCCTCAGCGCGCGATACGCCCACTACCATTCTAGTCACGAATTGTTGGCTAAATTACTCGTCACTGCTCAGGATAAAATTAACGAAGTCGTCGAAGCCCATCAATGGGACATGACCATCTTGGCCTTTTGGATGTCCAACGCAACCTTATTATTACACTACCTAAAGAAAGACGCCGGCTTAGTCGAGGCGACAACAGAGTTTCAAGCACAGCTTGCAGAACTTGTCAACGAGATTTTCATTCTTATCGTGAGAGATGCCGAAAGACGGTTAGATAAAGTTCTGGACGCCGCGATGCTTGACCATGAGACTATCCCAGGGCTTGAAGATGTCACTTTCCAACACGAGTGGAAACTATTCAAGAGGAAAAAAGAGGTTAAAGAAGAGCCCCTAGAGAAGCGACTACGCCCCCCTTCTCCGAAGCAGCGTGCCAAGCCCGCCCCCCGAAATGTAACATCCCTTCTATCATCTACTCTATTCGTGCTCGACCTATATGATATTCACTCTGTAATCACGTCTCAAATCATATCTCAACTACTCTACTGGATCGGTGCAGAACTCTTCAATCGGATTATGAATAATAAAAAATACCTCGCAAGAACGAAGGCGATGCAGATTAGGATGAATGTTTCGGTTCTAGAGGATTGGGCTCGATCTAACAACCGGCAGCCCGAGCATTATGAACATGGAGAGACGGTCTCGTCTGGAGAAACGACAATGGAAGCAGCACGTAAACATCTGGCGCCCGTCGTGCAGCTTCTTCAGTGGTTACAGTGTTTTTCATCTCTAGATTCAGAAAATCTAGAAGCTTTAATCGGGACGCTTCAACAACTTAAGCGACTAAGTTCGCAGCAGTTGATATTCGCTGCTAAAAATTATCGGCTAGAAGTAGGAGAAAAGGGGTTGCCTAAGAGCGCTATGAAATACCTCGACGCAATTCGGAAAGAGGCCGCGTTCAGAAGAGATCGCAGGAGAACGGCGTCGCCAATGCCCAGCGCACCATCGACGCCTATTAGGAATGCATATAACGGTCATAATGCGGAAACACCGGGAAGCATACAAGGCACACCAAACCCAGAACAAGACGATGACGACGACATACCAGACGGGATCAATCTCGATCCGTCCTTGATGCTACCATTCACACTGCCAACAGTCACGGACATGCTTATTTCTTACGGCGCCGGATTTGGAGGAGTCAATCGGGAGCGAGAGAGAAAGTACATTCCAACGATTTCACCAGAGTTGCTCGATAAGCTGGAAGTAAGCAGCAATCCAAGCCGACCAATATTTGGTGAAAAGGATTGGGAGAATGAAGAAGTTTGATGGCCTGACCGATGATGATTCACAGAGCGGTCAGCGAATAGAAGACACCCTATAGCTCGGGCCAACTCAGCAATGCATGACGTTCTACTCATCACAAGCTACCTTAGGTACCGAATAGGTTGACACGGCCGAAATCTGTCGCGTTGGCGCCAACAGAAGGGGTCACAGACGCTATAATAAGCCTTATGCAAGATGCAAGGGACGAACGCGTGGTTCAGGGGAAATTAAGGGTTCAACTGCATATCGCCTACGGGAGAGGCGTCGGGATGAGTGAGATAAGGCCAGTAAAACCCCTCGAAAGCTGTTACTAGTGTATCCCACCACAGAGGACTGGACACGACGGAATGTCACTATTGGAAGATGATATCAATTGGAGTGATACATAGTAGATATGTGCATATTCGAAGACAGGGAAGAGAAGAGAATTTTTTTCCCCTAAGGGTTTTGCGACCATCTGACTGTGTTCAATCTCCAATGCTAGAAATGTCGTGGCCGTTGTTTATGTAGCGGACCTATTCAATCCCAGGCAGCCAATAGTATTTGCTTTTAGCTAAGGCCTCATGTAGTTTGTGATGCGGTCAGGACAGATGCAGGCCCAACGGCTGCCAACTGTCGCGTTCGGTATTCGGTATTCCCTAGCTGGGCTATATCCAATCGAGTTTAAGCAATTCTTCTAGGTTCGTTAAGGGGTCACCGATTACCAGCCTCTTAAGTCTTGGCAACAAAATGCAAACAACGATCATTAACTATGTGCGCGAATACTCAGGATCAAACCCGAAAAGTTCGAAAATATTAGACATATTTGCACGGTTATATCAGCTAAACCCGTCTAATTTTAGAACTCTCCTCTTTCATTCATTAAGTCCCTCAGCATTAACAGTAAGCTTAGAGATGTTTGCGATAAATCGGCGATTCTCTGGCACCCCGCGCGCATTTCATCTAATTGGTGGCGGTCGATAGACTTGGATGGGCTGGCTAAAATGGACACGTCAATGCTTCTACCCAGGGAGTTGAGGCCGGAGTTGATGGACCCGCGGGATTATTTGATGCGTCCATTGAGGACGGGCGGGCTTCCAGACCCAGACCATTTTCCATTCACCTCTGGAAGTGACGTCTACTTGCTGCTTACCCCGCCGATTTGGGTGGGCATTTACTATGTTTGTGTGTGAAGTGTATAACGGTATTTTGGAGGATTCTTAAATATAGTATCTCTAGTTCGAGGAAAATAGAGGATGGTTGTATGTAGTGTAGTACATACGTAGGTGGCTATCGTGAAAATCGGATAACTGCCTCTTTACCAGCCCTTTTTTCCCATTTCTTTTTACCCTCCGCTCCCGACTCGGCTAACCTCAGGTCGATCCTGGGATCTTGCATCTATAGACAGTCCAATGAGAGCGAGGAATGAAACGGCCCCCCGGTACTACTTTACCGATTCGACATGTCTCTCTGACCTCCAATTGCGTGGGGCACCCTTTCTCAGGATGAACGGAGCGATACTATACAAGCTACTTTATCGATTAGGAAATTCTGAAGACGCGGACAGGCGGAGGAATATAGCATTGCATTTATCAACTTCGAGAAGCTCTGCCGTAACCCACTTGGTAATGGAGTGTAGTACGTATGTATGTGGAAGAGTTTTTGCGGGGGCGACGGGACTAAAAAGTCGGGGTGGGCGAAGGAGATTCCAGACTTTGCTCATGTTGAATCTATACACACTCACATGGTGTTAGTCTTGCCCTTACAAAAGCCGGCTGTTGTAGTACCAGGTCGGATGACTCTATGCATGCATTGCCTAAGGTTAAGGTAGAAAAGAGTCAAGACTCAGCATTAGGTATGTAGTCTTGACAAGTGACTTAACCTAGTAGATTAGGCAGGTAGACAAACTACGCAGCGTACACTCGGTTAAGTAACGTATGCAGTAAGTAAGTAGACCGCTAGACATCCCCTTCAAGCATTAAGGTATGGACATGAATAAAAGAACGGTGCGTGACCGCTCCGGCCTTGGATTGTCGGTCTAGGATAGAAAAGGGCCGCGGTTCGACCAATGCTTAAAAATTGTAGCGGGCCAAGCTGGGAAGGGTGGAAACCGTGTCTCTGACTCCAGCCAATTGGGAGAAACGGTAATGGTGGTCGTAAGTTGATGATGTGCATCGCTTCTATTGACGCCTTCAGGGTCGGAGGTGGTAAAAAGAAAAATAGAACCCCCGTACCCCCGTAGCTAGTAGTACATAGTACCGGCCATGGGCCACGGTGCTAATGGAATTCGCTTCCGCCACGACAAAACCCGCCTTCCATGCTGGCCAGATCAGATGAACCGTGGCCCAAAAATAATATATAGGTACCCAAGACAGACAAACATATTAAAGCAACCGACCCCCCGGCTAGTGGATATGTATAGAAAAAAAAGAAGAAGAATTGAAAAGTGAGTAATATAAGTACATACCTAGGTACCTACATAGGTAAATACCTACATATTCGGTAGAGATACGCTTGTTTAACTACCACGGCGTCCTTGGTGTAAGTGACTAACGACCTAGAACTTCCCGATTCGTCTCTTAAGTCAATAAATTGAGTTTTGACATATCTATCGAACAGAAGGTACGAGTCAGAAGCCTCAACGGACCTTGGCTAGAGTCTGCTGAGCTGTATTTGACCCATATTTCCGCTCCGATATACATTTATATACATTCACGTTCCTTTTCGTTAATTGACTCTTCCCGGACAACTTTCTCCTTGCCCTAGAAGCGAATTGCGCTAACATATAACTACTTATAGCCGTGTAAGTGGTGGACTGGACGAGGCTTGACACGCACGGGTTGTACATATTTCACCAGTATTTTCGAGTTGAGATTCGCAACGGCAAGGGATTACTTCTTTTTTTAAAAGGGTGAATAAGAAAGAGCCTGCTTGATCAACTGGTTGCTTGTCAAGCCCTACCACGGTTGCTGGCAGTTCATCCAATTGTTGTCACACCAAGCACGATATCGCTAATTGCGCGAAAATCAAATCATTGCAGATGCAAACGGATTGTATTCCTTTGACACAACACAAGACAACGGGCACAACAACACCCAGTCAGCCACAATGTTCGGAGTTACACCACACGCGGTACCATACATAGCACCGCCAGCACCCCCCAAGACCAAAAATGGCCGAACTAAGAGCAGGTCCTCAAGTCTTGTTCCTTTCAGAGATGACTCTAAGTTGGTAGCGTTCCGGTACGACCAAACCATCCAGGCAGAGCCACCTATACCGATACCACCACCTCGATCTTCTCGCCGCCCACCACCACGTCCTATTTCGTGCAATACAGCTCGTATTCCCATCGTCGTACTGCCTCCACGTCCTGCCCCTCCTACTGAACAGCACCCGGCACTGAGAACTATCAGCAGTCCACGGACGATCGTAGATGTGAGAAAGCGGGATTCCTGTCATTCGCCGACTACCCCTTCGAGCTCGTGGACTATTCGCGAGGATAGCGAGACGGATGACGAAGACCCTTTTACCTACGAAAATGTTAAGAAATTTGGCGAAATTAGACCTCTCCAACTGACAACTCGTTCTGCATCGCCTTCTCTATATTCACGTCAAGAGGAACGAGTAAGCGAATCCAACAGCAGGGCTAGCGCTCCTTCACCAGCACTGTCGGACGGCGATACTGTTTCGCCAACATCTCCAAACACTCCACCTTCTAACTTCTCAAAAAGGTTTGTAAGAAGCTTCAGTTTGCGATCTAACTCATCCAAATCGTCGTTTTCAAAGATGAGGCGATTACGGAAGAAATTAGGAAATGATGGGGTACCGTGCGCTGCTGAGAACCCCGGCTACCCACTAAACGGGCAAAACGGGCAAAACGGGCAGGACGAATCGGCGCCTAAATCCCCTAAATCCTCTAAATCCCCTAGCTTAGGCAGATTGTCACCAATACCTGACCCCCATGATTCTCCAGTTATTTCAACCACTATCCCCACCGAGAGATTACTGGAAGATGATTTTATGACCCAGCTGTCCTTCTCTAAGCGTGGCAGCCTCATTTTTGGCGCCAAGCACCCGCGCAAATCCAACAGGAATATTCCTAAGATGGCCGAACAACACGGCATCGTCAATAATGAAACCGCCGGCGCCGATCGACCTAGAGAACCACGCGCTTTTCCTCTAATACCGACGCGCGAAAAGGTTCCCGACGCCGTTGTTGTCGGCGCGAGCGCTAATGAGCCCGCCAAATTCTCAGGGGCTCCCGACGACGCCTTGACCAGCACACCGCCCACACCGCGTCGGCTACCTCCTAGTGTTCGGGTTATATCTGCTGAGGCGGAGAAGGAATCTCAAAAGGTGAGATCGCTCTATGAATCCGGGGAAGGTGTCAAGTGGGAAGAGGGCGCGAGACACTCGTCGATTGATGAGCGTATCCAGCCCTCAGCAGAAGACCCGCCAGAAGAAGATGCGAATGATGCGTACGGTTTCCTTATATATCCAACTTCTTTACCTTTGATAATGCTGACAAGTCGCCTCTCTTATAGGTCAAACGACCAGGCTGGACACCCTACTCCAAGCTCGGCTTCTACTTCGTCGCCACAAGATAACGACGTAAGGCGCGAATATGAGTTAGCAGGAGGAATCGAGGATTGGGAAGGGGTGCAGGTTGAAGATGTCGATCGTTACGGTTTCATTTCAGTTCAGCAGCCGCAAGATTCGCGGCCGTCGTCGCCGACCGGAACCACCACGTCCGTCCATTTTTCAATGCGCAAACAGCGAAACGTTCTTTTTCGGAAAGAAACGACATCACATTCGTTAAGAGTCAGGGGCGGCCCCAGTAGAAAGATGTCAACACGCTCCTTGAATACACAGGCGTCGGAATTATCTACGGCGTCGCATCGTTCCGCTCTTTCGACTACCTTCCGCCAAGCCACAAATTTATTGCCCCATAACAGGGACAGGAGATTGCTAGACGAAGCTGGGGATATCCTTGCAACGCACCCAGGCTTAACGCATGTTACTGAGAACGGGTCGGCTGAGAGGAAGCTAACCGAGTCGAAACTGAAGGAGACGCAGCGCGCTGAGAAGTGGTTGAGGATGGCTACAGTAATTAAAGTAGGCGACGATGGCCAAGGTATGGTGTTTGATTTTAATCTGAAGCACCCGAAGCTAGTCAAACGTGTATGGAAGGGTATCCCCGATTGTTGGCGAGCGGCAGCTTGGTATTCGTTCCTCTCTACCGCTGCCAAGGCTAGCAGCGAACCCTTTGCTACGGAGGAGGAAATCAAGGCTGATTACCACCGGCTCGCCGAGGAACCATCGCCTGACGATGGGCAAATCGATTTGGACGTGCCTAGGACAATTAATCAACATATTATGTTCAGGCGGAGATACCGTGGTGGCCAGCGATTGCTTTTCCGAGTACTGCATGCCTTGTCCCTCTATTATCCCGACACGGGCTACGTCCAGGGCATGGCTCCGCTGGCGGCAACTTTCCTGAGCTATTTCGACGAGGAGATGTGCTTCGTAATGCTGGTGCGACTATGGAAGTATCGTGGTCTCAATCGAATGTATGGTTCCGGATTCGTAGCGCTCATAGAGGCTCTGAAAGATTTCGAAAACGATTGGCTAGCTAGTAGAGACGTCGCTGCGAAACTTGTAGGTCCACGATTGCTCCTATCTGACTTGATCTCGGCTAACATTTTACTAGACTGAGCTTTGCATCGACCCGACGGCGTACGCCACTAAGTGGTATCTGACCCTTTTCAACTTGTCGATACCATTTCCTGTTCAGCTCCGCGTATGGGATGCATTCATCCTACTCGGCTCTTCGCCAGAGCCGACGGAGGGCTCCACGTCACCGACCAATGCTGCTCCAGAACCGTCGTCTAAGGGACTCGAGATCCTCCACGCAACTAGTCTCGCTATCATTGACACGCTCCGGCCAACGCTGCTGGATTCTGACTTTGAAAACGCTATGAAGTCTCTTACTTCCTGGGTTCCTATTAAGGATGAGCAAGGATTTATGGACCTCGTTCAGCTAGAGTATAGACGGCATGAGAGCAAACAGAAGACCTAGGAGGCTAGATCGCCTCTTTGATGCATCACCTGACCAGGGTCCGAAGTTCTTCACAGACTCCTAAACCTGCTTGCGGCACTACATGCCACTTTTCTTAAATTCGCGCTGAGATGGGATTTTCCTGTGGGGGGAGAGGGATTCGGAGGGAATCCGTGATACCGGTTTGCAGGCCAACCGCTACGTTGGCTAGCTAATTTACAATAACCTACATCGCCTAGGCCGCGACAAGGGTCTGATTTAGCATCCGATTTCCTTTGTGCTTCGGAGGAGCGCTGGTTGTTTCGCCTTTGCCCGGGCTACGAGGCGGAAGCTCTGGAGACGCTGATGGATGGTTCTTCGCATTATACCCCCTACGCATTCGAATGGATTGTTCACGGATGGTGGAAGACCGGTTACTCCGCCGGCTTATCGTTACTACTACTACTACTACATTACATTATACCTATTTAATACGGAGCTTCACCGTACGAACCTCGCCGAGGTCGTACCAACTATACCCCCCCTACACGAGCGTCTAGTACTTGCTTATTCTAGACGTTGTATTACCCTACGATAGTATGAATTTGATATACCTAATAATTTACCTTCCCTCGATATTATTTGACTTTATTGGATTAGGTTGTTTGACTAAATTAACCGTGCATGTGTTTGTATTTGTTGCGCATTATGTTAGTGACATAAGCATGACGTACGTATCATTTAAGGCGCAGTTTGCTATCGTATGTAGTGAACGCATAAGTTTTGCGCTGGTAAGGCTGATAATCCTGCAGATCTGCAACCCAAGCCTATGTACGAGCGGCCAGGGATCTTCCTAGTTTGGAAACATAGCACGATTCCACGGCACCGGATGCCCGGCTCGGCTAACTTTCCCACGCTGTTGGCCGACGGCCTTGTTTGCATTGCGCAGCTACGCACGCAGTTCGACGTTGTGGCGATCGTCAGCTGAGGAACTGGAATGTCGTAGGACAGATAGGTACCTACCACATGTACATGGTGATGATAAGAGGTACATAGGTAAGGATAAGGGCTCAGCCTCGATGATTGATATCAGCTGGTCGCATTCGGTAAGAATACATAGGTATATAAGGTATATATGCGTTGATAGGATATATTCCTCGCGACGAAGGAAGGAAGGAACGAAAGGAGCGCGTGTAACCTCTCGTAATTACTTTTAGGCATATTATTCCCTCATGACATCAATTGGTTGACCTGAGGATTTGAAACTTGAAACTAGACTTCTTCATTTCGATCTATCTCCTCTCAAACATTATACACCGGCGGTTATTTTGGGGGTGTCGCTTTACTCGTAAATCACCACTAACACCAATCACCACCAAAAACCTACAATATGGCTTCTCGCGCCAAACAACCGAAAAAAGACGACGATCCGCCTCCGTACTCTGAACATCGAACGGACGGCCTGGCATCACCACCAACTGCTACTGCCCAAACGCCTCCTCCTCCTTTCACACCCCGACAACAACAACAACAACAGCAGCAACAACCAACTCCCCTCCCCCAAATCCCGCGCCAGTTCCCCCCCGCATTCAACATGTACATCGAAACCCGACGGCACTACCACATCGGCGAGCACCAATCCACGCCGCTCTACGCCGTCACCCTATCCCCCAGCTTCTTCTTCTCCTCCTCGCGCCCGGACGTGGTCCTGCACAGCGGCCCGGGGGACCAAACCCCCCCCTTGGCGGTAGTCGCGCGCACGGGCCGCGAGCACAATCTCACGGTGACGGTAACGTTACCGCCTGCCCCTGCCCCCGGATCTCAGGCGCCCCGCCGCGCCGAGGAACGCGTCGAAACGCCGGGGTTCCTGGGCGGCGGAACGTTCTCGTTCGTTGTGGAGGTGGGGCCGGGGCTGGGGGGAAGGAGGGAAATGTTCGAGTGGCGGAGGTCGAGGGGGGGTGCGGTTGAGGCGTTGGGGGGGAGGATGAGTGGGTGGAAGTTGGTGAGGATGAGGACGGATGCGCCGAGCGGGTTGGGGGGAGGAGGCGGGGGAGGTGGACGGGGTACGGCTACGTTTGCGGGGGGCGCGCGGGCGGGGGATGGGAGGGAGGTGGTGGCGGTGTGGGCGTGGGCGAATATGAGTCTGACGAAGAAATTGCGGTTTCGGTTTTTGGGGTCGGGGGCTAGCGGGGTGTTGGGGGAGCGGTGGGCGGTTATGGCGGTTGCGACTGCGTTGTGGATTTGGGAGAGGGAGAGGAGGTCTAGGGAGGAGTCGGGCCGTTAGGGGGGTTGTTGGTGGTGGTGATGTTGGTGTTGGTGTTGGTGTTGGTGTTGGTATTTATTGTTGTTTGGGCGTTGGGTGCTGGTTCGTAAAGGGAATAGGGATAGGGGTTGTGGTTTGGGAACTTGGTAGTATACCCTACGGCGTAAACTATAGTTAGACTAATATGGATTCATTGCCCATGTCGAGTGTCTCGGTGTTGCAGTAGCTTTGAGTTTGAAATTAAGAACGCTAGGAGTACGGTCTTTGGTCGAGGGATACCTAGTGTTCAGAATTCGCTGTAGTTGCCGACCCTAGATTTGTTTGCCCTTAGTTATACACTGGCCTCGGTTGGGGAAATATCTAATAGGTTGAGATAACGTGGTGTATCGTAGATTCGTTCGTCGCATTGTGATTGTATAACGAATGTTGGAACCTATGTTCTGTCTAACCTTGAGGATTCGTCACTCTTATGATGTGAAATATAAAGATTTCTGATAGACTGTCCTTTGCTAATATTTTCTCCAATACCATAAGGAGGGAGGTTACAAACTAGCAGTCTATTTCCACGATGATCCCCTTTCCCCCTTTAAGGGATGTTAATATTCGCAACGGTTGAGTACAGGTAGGTAGGTAGGTAAAATACGACACCGTAGGTAGTTCACGGGAACTTGTGTAATCTAGACGGGAAGCCGCATAGCATATCGAGATATTATCAAACGAAATGCAGGCTAACGAGACTAATAGGCAAATAGTACTAATAACAGAGCAGAGTGTCCTCTTCCCATATCTCTTTTTTAGCTATTTTCTTACTCTATCATATACAGATGATGCTTACCTAACCATGCCAACACTTACAACAAGATTGCCATTTAGCAGAACTAGCTCTACAGGCGAACCTACGGAGTATGCGGCTACCCGTTATCACCGGGCCTTTCCATTGCAATTGACAGCGGTGCCTGATGTGCCTAACGAAAGCAGTGGTATGGACTTTACTTCGGCATCAGGTGATCAGACGTCTTCCGCTGGCTCTGTTTCTATTCTCTCCGGGGGCGCTATAGCAGGTATAGAAGTCAGTGTAACAGTGTGCATTCTGGGAGCATTGTGCGGAGCTATCGTGCTCTACCGGCGTAGACGGGGGAAGAGGAGGACTGATGATGATGATGGTGGGGATTCGAGATCGAATCCTCCGGGTGGCGACCCCTTGTCAGATAAACCGGAGCTTGAAGGAAGCTCTATGGCTCGGGCGAGAGAGGTGATACCGAAGGTAGAGCTCGACGCGGCAGCTTCGAGGTCAGAGTTGAGTGGTTCTGGTCCCGAATCACGGCGCGGAACCGTTAGCCCATTTACCAGTCTTAGTCCGAACCCGGCAGGGAGTGATATGATTTTTCCCTTGGTTGATTCGCGACATAAGAGTATCTTTGAGATGTCGGGGTGATATTGCTTCTCTATCCCCCTTTCCTCTCCTTAAGCCTTTCATTTCGGTACTTCGTTTACACTTGGAAATATCGTTGTTTCGACTAGGGAGCTATTTTTCTCGATATTAGGGGTAGTCAACTACGTTTGGATAGTGCCATAAGCCATCAGCTTGCTTAATAGGTGAAGCCCTAGTCTATGAGAGTTTAGAAGAGGGGTTAAGCCCTTTTCTACATAGACTAAGGTTTCTCTAGAACTAGAGAGCCCGGATCTTCCAGAGGTGTTATCGTGGTGATGGTCATAGCTGGAAATAACTAATTGCACTTTTGATGGTCTAGCAGGATTTACCTTGACGTATTACTATGAAGCTTATACTAAAGCTTATTCTTGATGTCTTGCGAAACATATCAAACGATATCGCAATACTCATTCTCCACGAAGACGCATCAAAGACGACTATGTTATCAGAACTAAGACAGCATGGTTCTACTTCTATCATGCACTATAAACATCGCCAGAAACTGTATAGGACACGCCAAACCCGCTTCAAGGCAGATCCCACCAGCTCTCGTGCAAATCCCGCAAGTCGATAGTAGCCGGATCCCTAATATACGGCACGATATCCGCACTCAGATCCTGCTCCTTCAACGTCGACCCCACGCCAAAGTACCAAGCAAGCCTATTCCCGCTCTCGGAGAGGTACTCGTACTCCCAGTCCTCCCACCGCGGGTCGCGGTATATAATCGTCACGTGCGCCGCGCTGCCCGGCCACAGCCCGTGTATCCTGCTCCCCGGGCGCCCGCTGTTGTACCACGAGCTGCAGTTCTCCGACAGCACGGTCGTCTCGAAGAAGGCGTCCGAGTACTGGACGAAGTCGTCGGCGGCCCTTCTCGACGGCTGGACGGTCCGGATGCCCTCGCGCGCCACCTTGCGCAGCAGCTTCGCGTAGAAGGCGACCTGCACCTCGACGCTGTGCGGGACCGTCCCCGACCGCCCCGACCCGTGCGGCCCGTGGATGAAGCCTAGGTTCGGGAACCCGGGGGTCGCGGCCCCGAGGTACGTGTACGGGAACCCGTACTCGCCGTCTTGCTCCCAGAGCTTGGAGAGGTCTTTGCCGTGGGCCCAGATGCTGAAGGGGGGCACCATGTCCCTGTTTGCGCCTGTGGCGCAGAATATCGCGTCGACTTCGCGGTGGACGCCGTCGGTTGTTTCGATGCCGGTTTCTGTGAAGCGCTTTATCGGTGTCTGGATGTAGTCTACGTTGTCTTCTGTGATGGCCTCGAAGTAGTTGGGTCCGGGAGTGAGTCGTCGGCAGTGAGGCGAGAAGTCGGGGATGATTCTATCGATGAGTTCGGGTTTCTTGGCCACGCGTTTCCTCATAAGTTCCGCGAATTCCTCGCGAGATTTTTCGTTAAGCTCGGATCCCTTGAGCCAGCTTGAGAATCCTCGCCAGTATTTGGATTCTAGATCCTTTCTCCATTTTACGTATTCGTTGGGATCTTTGAATGACTCTCGGAGCTCAGGTGATATGGGGATGGGTTCGATGGAAGTAGCATCGCCTGCGAATGATGCTGTAACCCATGTCCTATTTCGAGCATAGTGGTCTAAGTGCTTGACATACTTCTGAATATTGGCAGTAAGCTGTATGCCGCTTGCCCCGTTGCCGATTGTTGCAACTCGTTTTCCTACAAGATCGAAATTGGGATCCCAGTTGGAGGCATGCCGAAGAAGACCTTTGAAGTCCTTTATCCCAGGGTAATCAGGCAGCTTCCAGGCGTTGAAGCGGCCGATGGCAGTCAGCACAAAGTCAAACTCCTCGCTGGACGTCTCTCCCGTGCTGAGATTATGCACCTTCACGTTCCATACGGATTTCTTCTCGTCCCAGCTCAGCTCTTCGACCCTTTGGGAAAACTTCAGATACTGGTACACATCGTACTTCCGCGCCAGTCCCTGCCAGTATTCCCTGATCTCGCGGCCCTGCGCGAACTGCTCCGACCAGTTAATGTTTGGAGCAAAGCTGGTCTGGTAGACGTGCGCCGGGACGTCACATCTGACCCCTGGGTAGATGTTTTCAAACCATGTGCCGCCCTGTAGCTAATTAGCGGAGTTGCATATACTTTGAGTATCAACGGTGTTGCTCACCACGTCGGCATTTTTCTCGAATATAGTCAACTTCACGTTAGGAACCTTCGGGGGAAGAATTATGCCAGCCAGCACACCTGAAATTCCTGCACCAACGACAGCAACTCTTAGTTGCCTCGGTTCATCGATATAGCGCTGTTCAAGCTTGAGTGTTGGTGTAGGATAACTGCCAAACTTTGGTTCCTTGAGTAGTGGCTCGATCTTTTCTTTCACGCTCTCAACTACAGGCACTTTCACGCCATTGGTTGGATTTTCTGAGCCGCCTTGCTCTGATGAGGATAGTGTTGATCCATTGGTACTAACAGCTTGCTCCAAGCCTTCGGTAGTCATATTGGCAAGTAATTAGACCACACTTATACAGCGGAAGAAACAAAAGTCTGACCGGTTGAGTGTCAATGTATATTTATTCCACTCATAACCGGCCAGAACCGACGACTTATATCTACGAGACTGAAGTTATCTTGAAACGCGTTATCAATAGACTAAATGTGTGTAGCCGACCTACCACGTCTTGTATAGGCGAAGCACGCAATAGCCCCCGCGTCTTTGCACCTCCGCGATAGGACGTCCGGGTAGCAATCATGCTTGCGGCTAGAATTCTAGGCCAACTTTTATCGTCACATCAATATTGGTCAAATGCCGGAATAGGATTTCTGACGTATGAGCCGAGGGTGTTCATAGTTACTAGGTAATAGTTAAGTTCATTTATAATGTTGTGAATATAATCTAAATCTAAATTGCGACCTCGTTCTTTTTCTAAACACAATATCCAAAGAGTATTTCCTCAGAATTTACAATAGTTAACCACGGTTGAAAATGGCTTCTTCAGAGGGTAAGAAGCAGATTCTGCTGAATGCATTTGATATGTCAACCATTGGCCATCTTTCACCGGGCCAATGGAAAGTGAGTTTCCATATATTTTACGCCGAGGTATACCGTATATCAGGTAGCTAACGATGCATCAGAATCCCGCCGATAAGTCAGCTACGAAACGCAATCTTGACTATTGGTTAGAATTAGCAAAATTGCTAGACAGAGGAGGGTTTAATGCCTTGTTCCTCGCAGATACGTATGGAGGCTACGACACCTATGAGGGAAGCCTCGACAATTGTATCAGAAGAGCCGCACAATGGCCCGTGACGGATCCAACTATCGTAGGTCTATTAGCATCGAAGCCTAGTCGAACATGAGGAAACTGAAACTAAACTATTGGATTATAGCCCATTGCGGCAATGGCTGCCGTGACGAAGAATCTCTCCTTCGCCATTACTGCTTCAACCTCGTTTGAGCCCCCTTTTCTATTGGCAAAGCGATTTTCCACGTTAGATCACTTTACCGGGGGACGATTTGGTTGGAATATCGTCACTTCCTGGAAAAAGGCAGCCTTCAAAGCCATTGGCCTTGATACTCCCATTGACCACGATGAGCGGTACCTTCAGGCTGACGAGTACTTGAAAGTACTCTACAAGTATGTTGCTACAATCAATCCTCCAAGAGGGCAAAAATACTTAAAAGAATGTGTAGGCTCTGGGAGGGATCGTGGGCAGACGATGCAATCTCCCCTGATCCAGAAAACGACACCTATGCCGACCCGGACAAGATTCGCACGATTAATCACAAAGGGAAGTACTTCACTCTGAACACAAAGCACATTGTCGACCCGTCTCCGCAGAGAACCCCGTTTCTATTCCAAGCCGGGACTTCTCCCGCCGGCTCTGAATTCGCAGCGACGCACGCGGAAGCCATCTTCGTCTCCTCTCACTCCGCGTCCGTCCTCCGGCCCAAGATTGCCAAGATCAGGGAACTAGCTGCTTCTAAAGGTCGGGATCCGCGCTCGCTCAAGTTCTTCGCGACTTACACTCCCGTTGTCGCGCCTACCGACGAGGAGGCGCACGCGAAATACGAAGAGCTACTGAAATACGGCTCCGTCATCGGCGGCCTCGTTCTGGTCAGCGGCTGGACCGGAATCGATCTATCCAAGATCCCTCTGGACCAAGAGATCACCGCGGCAGACTCGCTGGAGGCTCATAAAGTGCGCAGTATCTTAGACGCGTTCACTACTACGAGCAAAGATATCCCGAAGTGGACGCCCCGCGTGATCGCCCAGAAAGCGTCGATAGGTGGTCTTGGCCCCGTAGGTATTGGATCCCCTCAAACCGTAGCGGATGACCTGGAGCGCTGGATAGAAGAAGGGGACTTGGATGGGTTCAATATCGGTTATGTGACCACTCCTGGGTCATTTGAGGATGTGGTCGATCTTTTGATTCCGGAGCTAAGGCGACGTGGGATTTATCCCGATCCCCTGCCTGAAGGAGAGACTCTGACTGCTCGGGAGAGGGTTTACGGAAAGGGTCAAAAGGGGCTTAGGGATGACCATGTCGGGTCTAAGTATAAGTACGAGAGATACCAGGAAGAGCCGCCATATCAGGAGCCAGAGCCGGCTAAGGAATGAGATGACCGAGTATGCTCATCGAATCTCTCAACTGAGCCATTAAGGTAGCTTGTAGTACGAAATAATAGTATTTTCAATGAGTTAGTACGCACCCAGTGATGTAGTATAACCCACCCTATTAATTCCAGTTAGGAAGACATCTCCCGACAATAAGGTAAAAGCGCGATAATTACCCCGTTCTAAACAATCTATAATGCCCGGTGTACGACTCTGCTAGACCGACCTATACGATTAGCCCAAGCCCAATAGGTAGGTCTCTTCCCCGCCTTGCTTTGACGTCTCCTTCACCGGCGCGCAATAAACATCGCGCGTAACCCTATATAGGTAGGTTGGACAACCCCGCCCAAGCTCTATTGCGTGATCGAGCAGGTCGTGTTGCGTGATCGCAGCCAAGCACGTCGGAACGCTATGGCACATGCGCACCCGGTATTGACGTGATATCACGTCGTCGCTAGCGGCGGGCTACTCCGCCGGCCCTCGGAGACGGGATGGGTTGGTTGGTTTTGACATAGCCGTATATCTATGTTAAGAAATAGATCCGGACCATTATTAATGAATCAATCAATCAGTCATTGCGTGCTGAATTAGTAAGGTGAGAGAGACATACATGATGAGCAGCGACGCAAAGCCGAAGAAGAGCCTCGTGCTCAATGCCTTTGTTATGATGGGTAAGTCCGATTCGTCATGGAATTACGTTCACCGGCTTATACCACCTCTTAGCTAGCGGGCATCAATCGCCGGGTCTGTGGAGGCATCCGGACGACGAGTCGTGGCGCTTCAATGAAGTATCCCACTGGGTTGAATTAGCGAAGCTGCTTGAGAAGGGGAAGTTCCATGGCATCTTCATTGCTGATGTCCTTGGTACGATATAGCCTTCAGCCGATGTGGGTTAGACAGCTACTAATTCCAACGACAGGGGGGTACGATGTCTATAGGGATTCTTTAGATCCCGCAAAGGTATCGGGGGCTCAATGGCCGACTAATGAACCCCTTTCTGTGATTTCTGCCATGGCGGCGGCGACCAAGAGCATTGGGTTTGGCGTCACGGCTTCGACTACGTATGAGCAACCGTATCATTTCGCCAGACGCTTGTCAACAGTTGATCATTTATCTAAAGGACGGTATGTTTTTCATCTTCAAATGATATAGTTATAATGCTAATTTCACGTAGACTAGGTTGGAATGTCAGTTAAATTGTCCCCCCTAGAACTTGACACTTATTTGGATGTTAAGCTGAATAGGGGCTTAGATTGTCACAAGCTACCTTGACTCGGCCGCGAAGAACTTAGGCTTTGCAGAGCAACCAAAAGTAAGTCCGCACGTCTCCTAGTTATATGAAGAAACAAAATTCTTATAAGATTTGTAATAGCATGACGATCGCTACGCGCAGGCCGAAGAATATCTCAAGGTCATCTACAAGCTCTTAGAGTCGTCATGGCGAGACGATGCAGTGAAACTAGATCGCGAGTCGGGTATCTACACCCAGCCTGACCTAGTACGGCCTATAAATCACCAAGGCAAGTTCTTCACAGTCCCCGGACCGCATATCTGCCAGCCAAGCCCGCAAAGAACGCCGCTGCTTCTCCAAGCAGGCACGTCTCGCGCCGGAAAGCAGTTCGCGGCCCAACACGCCGAGGCCATATTTGTATCAGCTCACGCTCCGGAAGTATGCGCAAAGAACATAGCGGAAGTACGAGAGTTAGCCAAGACCACATATGGTCGAGACCCGACGAATATCAAGGTCTTAGCACTGGTAACGCCGATCCTGGGGCGGACAGAAGAAGAAGCTCAAGCAAAACTAGCCGACTACCGAAAATACGCCTCGCATGAAGGAGCTCTTGCTCTATTTGGTGGATGGACGGGTATCGACCTTGACAAGTACGGGGACGAAGAGGAACTAAGACACGTTGAAAGCAATGCAGTGCGGTAGGCGCATCAAAACACCCCCCCTTTTCACGTTGGTATGTACTAACCCATTCTAGATCTACCGTCGAAGGCTTTGCCAGATTCTCGCCGAAAACATCAAAATGGACCAAACACACGATAGCAGAGCACATCGCCATCGGCGGCAACGGGCCCCTATTCGTCGGGACGCCGTCGCAAGTAGCAGACGGTCTCGAGACCTGGGTTAACGAAGCCGACGTTGACGGATTCAATTTCGTAAGTAACCCCCTAAGCCACCTAGGTACCTTAGGTAGATATGACAACTACGGGTGCGGTCGTCGCTGATATGTAATATGAACTTTACCTACCTAGGCATATGTACTCTTCCCCCAATCCTTCAAGGATATCGTTGAGCTTCTACTCCCCGAGCTTCGAAGCCGAGGCTTGTTTTGGGACGACTACGCGGTACCTGGAGGGACGTACAGGGAGAACTTCTATCAGAAGCCGGGGCAGACTGGCCCGCTTGATGAGCACATTGCTTCCACGTACAGGTGGAAGGCGGGTGTTCCGTCAGAGCAGCATGTGATTCAAGATTGAGTCACGGAGGCTCATAAGCAATGAACCATAGGTCTACGATGTCAATAGGACGAGGCTGTGCGAATTGGGATCACTGTCTCACTACGAGGAAAGTAAAGGACTAATACCATGTATTTCCTTGCTAAGGATATTCACATGCTAGCTAATATGAGATTTAACGTCTATGTTAGCATCAAGAACCTGTAACATGCTTCATCGATACGCCTCTTCTCGTAGTAATACCTATCATACGATTCAAGTAGCAAGCTATACGGCATACCAATCCCGCAAGGCCTCATCCAAGTCCCACAGCGATGTTGATGTCAAAGGTGGCTCTTATGCACTCCAGCGTTTCGAGCCGTAGACCAGCACAGCTGATCCCCAAATCCGCACCGCCATTTACAACCTACTGGAAACATACCTGACCAGCAAGAAGCAGAAACACCAAAGCCAAAGCCACAAGATAATAACTTATATAAGACGAATCAACGATACCAGCCCCCAAAAAGACAACGCATCAACACGCCACAAGCCCAAAAACAAAACATACCAACATCCCCTCGCCTTTCATGACCCCATTCAGACCTGATTCACGACGCCGTCGTCCAGGAGGATCGTAATGATGTTGTCCGAGACGCCTCGCGGTAGCACAAGTAGGCTTCAGGATTCCGATTCCGTTTCCGATTCCTACGCGCAACCCAACCGTCCTCGCATAAACACATGGTATCTTCTCGAGACGAATCCATCGCTCCCGCTCCCGCTCCCGCAAGCAGAAACAAAATTATATGCTCATACATACATACCTACATACACGCATACCCGCCCGCGCTGTTGGATCGTCCTAACATGACATGGCATGACATGACCCTGTCCTACTCAGCGCGTCCCGATCCGGAACACCTACCCTACCCCTTCCCGAATAGGCAGGAATGCGCAGAGATCGCCCAGCTCAGCTGAGCTGAGCGATCCAGCCGGCGGACGGGCGGAGCTCTCCCGGAGATAGCTGGTAGGTACGCACATACACCAACACTCTGATGTGATGTCTCTCGTGGGGTGCGTGCGGGACAGACCCTCCATCTCTCCATCTCTCCATTCACCCATCCGACCGTCGTTTCGTCACAGCCTCAGTGGTGGTGGTGGTGGCGGCGGGATGGACGAAGAGAGGGATACCGGAGGAGTATCATACAACGCCTACATACTCGTCGGGCGAAAGCAGCATTGCGTTGCGTTGCGTTGCGTTGCGCCGTTTCGCATGTGACGTGCAGCCAGCCACCAGATCATCCATCCGGCTGCCCTCTATCTACCCCATAGCAACGGCCCTCGGGCCTCTCTTACAACCTAAAAAATAAAAAAAAGAGGACGAAATCAAGCTTTGCTGAGCCTCTTCGCGGGAAAAAAACCTGGTTATTGGCAGGGCAATACCACGGCGCATTGTCGGCTGAAGTCGTCCCCGAACCACTCGCAGGTCCCACGTCGTTTTATTCGCGCACGAGCTTGACGATCAGCTGGGCTCCGCAACCCGGAGCGTGCCTAATCTAATGTATGTATAGATGTCGATCTGTTTTTTTGTTTACATACTCAGTCAGTCAGCCAGTTAGTTAGTCTATCAGCCCACATCGCCTTGGGTCGAGGATGGCCGAGCCAGTGTAGCTAACCTACCTACCTACCTACCTCCTAGCTTTCCATCATTTCATCCCCCTCCCCTCAACGCCGCCGGAGGTGGGCAAGCGGACATACATACATACAGACACCTAGACAGATATACCATAAAAGTACCGTCGCATCAGGCGTCATGCACGCAGTGTTTCATAGATATTAATCCGACATAGTATTAAGCCTCGAAAAGCTTGGCCTCCATGTTTCGCGTCCAGGTTTTTTCTTTCTTTTTCCTTTTGCTCCCCCTAATCTGCCGCGGAGCACCGTACCGTCGAATGAGAACACGGACGATACTAGCTTGCTTGCTTGCTTGCTAGCTACCTATCTACCTACCTGCGCGCATGGAACGAGCGAAAAATGCAGTCAGCGTCGCAGCGCAGATGCTTGCTCTGCGCATCTGGGACACTGTTGCGTGGGTTCTTGGTTTCTGCTAACGTTCGTACTCACATATATGTATGTATATGTATAATACGCATGTAGGTATGTATGGGTATATAGATATATACCCGGGTACATTGATTGCTAGCATACGTGGAAGTTATGTAGGTAGATATAGGGGTATAAGGGTATATAGGAGGTAGGTAAGAAAGGGAAAGAGGAGGCAGGCCGCCTATACGGCCGCGTCGCGTCCAGCCCGGGCGGAGGACGGCCGGCCAACCACCGCGAAGCGTTCGACACTGGAGAGGAGAGGCGCCCACCTACGTACATTAGGTGCTGTTGTTACTTACCCTACACACGCGAAAAAAAGAAGCCGACTGTGCCGCGACTTCGAACTTCCTCGGTGAGAGTTGTGGTCGCGAGCTGTTCTACCAAAGTCTGGGAAAGTTAAGCTGGGTCCTCTCCACTTCGCTGCAGCGCATAATACATACCTAATGTATGCGTCAAGCAGAAGAGGAAATACTACCTTGGCCTGTATCTGGGTATTGCGGGTCGATACACACACACACACATACACATACATAGTACATACATATATAGATAGATATCTAGATAGGCTAAGATCGCGCGCGAGATTTGGGCGACTCTGCTGACGAGTCGTATTGTTTCCGTCCCAGCCAAGCGAGACCTCTGCCTAATTAGAGGCAGAATATGCAGTTTCTGTTGGTGAGAGAAAGTAGCCAGTCGGTTTGGGACCAGAGGCAGTCAGCACAGCTGTCCCCGAAAGGAGTCTAGATCAGCAACGTGCCATCCCAAATTCCCTGAGCAGCGCGTCTTCATGGTAGAGCGCTACTGCGAGTCATCATGCATTCCTATAGTTGATGATGCTATAGTAGTAGTAGCGGCGGCGGCGGCGGCGGCAGCGGCTATATTATTGGGAGGAGGAGACGTCAATAAACAAACAACGACAAACAATAACAAATGGCCGACCTCTGCAGATAGGTATGCACATAGGCACCCAATTCAAGTATGTATGTGTATGTAGTCAGATATCTAGTCGGAGGATTCGCAAGATTTGGAATATCCCCAATCGCGATGTAGCTAGCCCCCCTCTGCTTTGGGGGGACTTCCCACACGGGTGGTCTCTCTGCCCATTCGATGAGTCAGTCGATCCCAGATACGGTAGCACTGCCGGGTCGTGGGTATTCCGGTGGCTACCTAGCCTAGACTTAGGAAAGCTTCCCATTTGGCGGGATAGGCAGTTGACGCATCTCGGTGCAGATGTAATGGATGGGGGGTCAACCATCGGCACTGTGGATGCCGTGCTCTATTCCTCTTCGACCAAGGCATCCCATCTTCAAACCCAAAGAGGTTAAATGACTAGGGGTGGCCGTGAGAAGAGTCTGGTGCTATCAAGGAATGTTAGCATTATTTGTCTTGATATAGACCACACTGCTGTCGACGTGCTAGTAAGCGAAGCGGAAGCTATCTTATGACTGACCGGCTGACTGACCGACCAGGTTTAAGAACTTACGACTTCGCGATCGACAATAGATCTACCTCATCCTAGTCTTCTCCATCTCACATTTACCCTCCCGTCAAGTCCCTAGACCATACATAGCTTTCTACCTTACCCCATACAACAACAGTCCACGTGAGCATGGAATCGACAACTGCAGCATGGAGATGAGATGGATGCTACTCCGTTTCCACAGCACTTCCCGCGCTTCTCTTACCGCACGCGCTAATGATAGCCAGCAGCAGCACCCAAATCGAGCAGAATATCGTCCGAACGAGGGTTATTGTCAGCCGGAATATTGCCTGTTCTGCTCTGTTCTGTTCTCGGGACGGAGTTGCGTAGCTGCGTCGTCAGCGGTTTGATGAGGACAAAATTTAATCCCAGACAGACAAAGCAACCCCCCGTTCCTACCCTTCCCCCACGGGGGATAAGGGGGGGAAAGGGAGACGAGTAAGGGCGTTTAGATGTAACGTCGTTGCATCGCTTGACCAGGCCAGCGGCTGGAGCGCGTGTGGGCGCGAATCACACGCTGGCCGACGACTTAGCCGTCTGGCGCGCGGGTATTTCCCCCAAGTCAACCCTTTCCTTTCCTTTTCCCCATCGACCCTCTGCTCTGGTCTGGTCTGCTCCCCTGGCTACATACTCGCATATTATATCCTCTTGCACTGCGCAGTGGAAATTGGGAATACATACATGCTTTAGATTAGGTAGGGAAGTAGGTACCTAGGTCAGTAAGTAAGTACCTAACCCAACCTAGGTACATACCTAAGGTAGCTGCGCTGGGTCGCACACCTAGGCGGCCGTGTATCGCGCCTCCCTGCCATGCCCTGCCCTGCCCTGCCCTGTCCTGCCCTTCCCAAGTTCGGGCAAGCAAGAGCACGTTCTCATTCTCATTCTTGGCCCCGAGGTCACTCGACACCCAAACCCTAAAACCCAATTCTCAAAGTGCAACTCCAAGCGAAGCTAGCTAAGCTCGCTCGTTCTCTCCTTCTAACATACCGGCCACCCCAAGTCATTCATTCCCTGCCGTGCGACACGACGCCCTAAATTAAACTCATTGCTACTAATACCGCTACCGCTACTAACTGCTCATCCCGACGGCAGCAACAGCAACAGCAGCAGCAGCAGCAGCGAAGCTGTCGTGCCGACATTCTCGAGCCCTTGCACGTGTCATCGTCACCCGCCCCTCGACAAATCATCAATTCTCCGATCCCCTTCGCCGGATTGATTGGGCGGAACCCCCCGTGGGCCGTCGCAGTGCCTAGCTAATAAATATAAAATAAATTAGGTAAATTAGGTCGGTAGGTTATACGCAGGACGGGCAAATACGAACGCCCAGGGCGTAGTAGCGGAAAAGAACTAATACTTATGTACGAATGTATATATATATATATATATATATATATATATATTAAAACACGCGTAACTGCCTAATCTAACCTAACCTAACCTGGTAGGTTTTCCCTTTCTCTGGCGTCTCTGCATGAGGCTTCAACGGGTCGTAATATTGCATGCCTAACCCTAGCTACGCCGAGCTGACTGTTGTCCTCTCGGGAAGAAAAAAAATATAAGACCTCCTC